ACAATTTTGGACTTCACCACTTTCGGGCGCTGTCCCTCCTTTCTGCGACCTTTAGGCGGGGATGGACTCAGCCTTCTGTTCAGCAAAGGCAATCGGCGTACCGTCCGATCTTAGAAAAAAAAAGGAAAGATTTCACCGTTGGATGCCCGGACTGCGCCCGGTACGCCAAAAATTACTTAACCAAGGCCAGCGGACGGAGGTTCATGCCAGACAGGAAGGAAGCTTGTAAGGAAGCTAGGGAGCCTGAAACCTTAAAATGGTCAGGAACGGTCGATTTGTACAATTGCGCATCGGAAGGCTACACTTTGGCACTTGAACGGAGCTATGCAGCTCTGCCACTGTCGAACGGAGACTCAGCAGAATTCATCGACGGCTTACGGGCACTCGAAGCTGTACAATAATTCCTATACCTCTAGTTTCTCAAAGTGACGGCGGACTGGTGACACTTCTGTCAAAAATTGCAATCGTTGAATTAGCGCTGGCCCAGTAGGTGGATCACATTGTGAAAAGACTGCCTTCAGTCCTACTTTCAAAAATATAGTGCCCGGTAGAGATGTCCGGCTGCTTTCAGAATTTTAGAAACCACTCTGTTGTTTAGTGTAACTACGCTTGTTCGGATTGTGGGAATGCTCTGAAACATTGACCTCCGCAACCATGGCATTGGCATTGCACTGCCAGTGCATGGCAGATTGCAGAGGGAACCTTCACAGCTCCTCTTTGTGGCGCCCCTGTTCACCAGCCGGGTGCGCAGCTCACCTTGCGCTGACATTGAGAAAGACTTCATTTGGCTAGGGAAAGGGACGTTGCAGCCATGGCCGGCATCCAGGCAAAGGTCGATTCTATGCAAGTCCGCCAGGACACAAATGTCTACGTGAACACCTGGCACACGACGCTTATAAAGGCCATCGCCAATGACTGCCCCTGTAAGTTTACCACAGAGCATTTCTCTTTCTGCTTTTGGGGTTGAGAATCTCTCGTTCCATATTCAGTTGACCAAAGTAGACAGCAACAGCAAGTTTGGTTTTAATGTGACTGTCACCAGTATTATCACGCAGTGCTAGTGAGCAGCAAATCTCAGCCTTGGTGTCTTCGATGGGTGTTGTTTAGGAATGAAGCTTGCAATGCTGTAATTTTATGATATTCGTTCTGAATCCTGCTAAGTCCTTGATATGGACAATCTAGCTGTACTGATTCCAAGAAGCAGCAGGTTTTTCCCCCTGTATGCTGAGGTCGTTGTCATCAAATTGTTTTAACAGATGGAGTACATGGATCAGGTCATATTAGAGATAGAAGTGCTTGTGTAGTGCTATTGTGTTTTGACCTGTAGTCTTTCTTCTGTAAAGGATCTCTCTGCACTTCAGCATCAAGCTTGCATAATGCCGAGGCAGTGCTCCTCCTGATCCAGTCTATAAAGGACGCTAAACAATCTCTCTGGACCGAGGGTACTGCCCCTTGAGTTATCTGCAATCCTGTTAAGGATCCTGACCAGTCAGCTCTTGAGTAAATGCATCCTGCATTTAAGTGGTAGAAAATCTGGACATGCAGTAAAAAGATAGTGGAAAATGCTTGTTCTCAAGAATGAATCTGTCCTATTTGACATTCACTCTCTTCATCAATGTTGCTCAGTCTGCAAAGCGAGAGGTTTCATTCGAGTTCCTGGAATGTTCTTGTGAATTGCGGGGCCTCTACACTGAGACGGTTTTTTCCGTGAGTCCTGTCGACCAGGGGTGTAGGGTTGTGCCACTTGGTGGTGCAGTTTGTTGCCTCGCAGTAACTAAATTAGCTTCGGTTGTAGAGTTCGTATCTCGAACAACGGACTCAGAAGCTAATCTTGTGTCATCCAATTGAGTCCTCCCAGCCGTTTCTTGGGGGATTGCTTGCACCAGTGCTTAGTTTCTGACACGAGGGTCAGTCTGGAAGGCTGCCGCTGGTCAAACTTGGAGGATGTATAGAACTTTCATGGGGCAGTAATCAAAATCAGTCAACGAGAGGTTTCCTTTTTCGCTGCTCTGCGAGTCTCTGCCGAGTAGCCCCTGCAAAATTCAGACATGGGAGCTTGGAAAAGTGAGCCAACTAAGATGCCGAACCCCCTAACACCTGCTTTTGCTCTCTGTGCATGCAGATTGCTGCTTCTCCGTCTTCTGGTGAGCATACCACTTGCGGACATAATCAGCCCTTGGGCTTGCTGATCATGCTGCTGCCATATCTCCAGCATGAAACACCGCAGTGTTGGATTTACAGCACTAGTCTTTCCTTGACTGCTTTTTGGAATAGAAGAAGTGTTTGTAGGCCCTTATTTTTGACGAGAGAGAAGACCAGCTTGGCTGTAAGACGGGGTTTCTGAACAGGCTGTCTGGAGACTGCGGTCTCAAGCTTGCTGTTAAAGCCTTGTCAAGAAAGCATGTAATGTTGCTTTGCTCCATCCTGATCCTAAGAAAACGCAAGATAACGACACCTTGTTGAGTCTCCTGCTTTTGATTAATCCTTGCCCTTCACTGTTAAGCTGGTACATCAAGTTTAGATTACAAGTGCCCTTCCCTCGCAGCCCTTACTGCGTCTCCTACCTTCTCCGAAAGAGGACGCTATACAATGACATGTCCAGGTTAGTCCCTTCATGACTGTCCAAGTTGCTAGAAAGTGGTATGCTGCTTCTTCTCCTGATTCTCTGGTAGACTTTTGTGTACGTGCTTAACACTTTTAAGTCTGCACACTTTACCAATCTGCATCATCAACTCATCAACTCCTGTGTTTTGCAGATTGAAAGAAAATATCATAGATGCGACACTAGAATCCATGCATATTTTCCTTGTGTTTGAGGGTGATTAAAGAGAAGAGCACAACGACAATCTGGTCAAGTATCGTCTATGGCAGACAGACTTTCAGAAGCTTACATCACTCCAGGTTTGGCCACTGTAAGGATTTTGCAGAAGACCAGAGCTGTAAGAAACAGGATTTGACGCAGACACTGAGTCCTAGAAGAAGACACCAGCAAGAGTCTGGTTCTTTGTGTCACCACTAATGTTACCAGCACGGTTGACTTTTGAGGCTTATGACAAATAGTTGCCAAAAGTCGGTTCTGGTTTGATTGTTCATCCATTGAGTTTTATTCTGTAGATGCCAACGACAAAAACTAGATGCCAAATGACTCTGTAGATGCCAACGACAAAAACTAGATGCCAAATGACAAAAACTAGTCAACAAAGCATTGCAAAAAATTGGACCATCAGAAAAACATTTTGTTGTATGCCCTTGTGTCACAAGGGAGCTTTCTGATCTTGCCTCTTCTATCTGGCAGATACACCTGCTGTGGAGGCTTCATGCCGTGCAGCGGGAAATGCAAGGAGAAGGACTGCCCAGAGTTCTGTCTCTGCTTGGAGGTAAGTCTACTTCTGCTTCTTTTTGCTCTTTCCCCCTACCTCTTCTCGTTCTTCTAGAATTTCTTGATTGTCATACAGCATTCGGGAGTGAGCAGAACTGCTCTAAATCCGTTGTAGGTGCTACTCCAAATTTGGTCGGGGTTTTCTTAAAGCAAAATCAAGGTTTTCTTAAAACTAGGCGGATGCATGCCAGTCGAAGTTAGGGATGTTTGTCATCAAGGGAATGACCCTCAATAAAGAATCCTGCAAGTTAACTGATCCAGTACGGCCTCCGACCTTCACAAGCAGGATGCGCAAAGAAGCTGGTGTTGAAGTCTTGTAAAAATGAAGTCGTCAGGCTGCTTTCGGCAGATTGCCTGCATTCTGTCCACCTGAGACACCTAGAACTGCTTCAAAGCTCACCCGTTTGCACTACTGAATATCAACGCAACAGTCTGTCTGGCGCGGCCCCTCCTTTGATGAAAGGCCCTGTATCTCACCTGGAGGACGATGATTAACCGGTTGGGACACACGTCCGTTGCCACAACAGGGCCTTTGTCCGTGGATGTGAGTGCGCACTGTAAGTAGTTGAGTTTCTCGGTAGCTCGGCATGGTGTTTCTTGTAGAATGACATTGTACGTCACGTTCTTGCAGGTTGTGTGCTGCTTTGCGTCCTCGGTCGCCTCCACCCGTTTCCTGCTCCAAGACGAGTTCCGCATCCAAACCACGGCGTGCGACAACTGCATCATCGTGAGATCCGGAGCTCTGGCCTCCTTTTGACCTGCATTCCGTTCCCTTGTCTTGCCCTCTTTTCTCACATCAATCGATTCTTCGTCTCGTTTCCATGTCAAGAAAAAGGTGACTGTGCCCTGTGTCGTCTCTCTGCCGAAACTTTCTCGAGATTTTTGCCGTTAGCTCAGAAGGGCTTTGTCATCACGCTAAGCTTGACTGGGTATTTCACAAGATGATCTGGCAGAGATTCGGTGCAAGGGCTGTCAGTTGCTTGGCTGTTGCGCAACAATTGCCTCATTGTGAGGCCTTTTCTCGAAAAAACGTTTTCTTGAGGGCATCCTCCACGATATGGTCAGGCGAATTGTCCAACCGCTTGTGCACCTGGAACGGCATCATGCTGCGTTTGTTGCCTCTGAGACTCAACGGTTGAAATCTTTCGACGTTGGAAACGAAAGCCGTTTCACACGTTTTCGGGAGGCGCCGTGCTCTTCTTCCAATGCGCATTGTGCACTGTGCCTCGTGTAGCTTGAACACAACGGGCGGGTTTTGACAATCCAGACAAGGAGCGTCAACCTGGAACGAACCCAATGAATCAGGATGCAGAAAGGAAATGATGCCCTGTTGTTTTGATTGCAGGCGACGATGTTCTTCCTGCACTACTTGGCGTGCCTGTGTCAAATTGCAGCAGGCACATCTAAAGAGTGCCAAACTTCAATCTTACTTGAAAGTCGAGAACGAAAGCCCTCGATGATTTCTTTTGCAGGCGTCGATGTTCTTCCTGCAGTAGTACCTGGCGCCTTTGCCAAATCGCGGCATGCCTGCTGGGCAGCGAGAATGATGGCTTGCCAACCTTGAGTAGTGTTTGAAGTGGACCGTGCCTGTGCCAGATCGCGGCGTGCCTGCCTGGGAAAGGAGGATGTTTGCTCGCCAAATCTTATATGATACTTATTATCTTATAAACAAACGAAATCACGTTGTTTGTTTAAGCAGGCGACGATGTTCTTTTTGCAGTACCTGGCGTGCCTTTGCCAGATTGCGGCATGCCTGCTGGGCAGCGAGGACCTGCAGGAGCCTGCCATATGTCGACTAGGAATCCAGGGCAAGAAGACGAACAAACCCCTTTTGTTTCCTTTTGCAGGCTACGATGTTCTTCCTGCAGTACCTGGCGTGCCTGTGCCAGATTGCAGCGTGCCTGCTCGGCAGCGAAGACCTGCAGGAGCTCGCCAACTGCATCAGCTGGATCTCCGACCTCGTGTACTGCTCCGTCTGCGCCTGCATGCAGGCGAGTCCCGCTTTCTCGCCGTCCCTGATTCGCTTCCGCGTCAGCTTCCGGTTCCGCTTCTGCTTTTCCTCCCGTCGTCGACCTTTTCTTTCTCGTTGTGCATTAATCTCGTTGACTCCGTCTGCATTCACAAGCAGGTAACCGAATTTTTTCCTGAGTCTGTTTCTTGTTACGGCTTGTGTTTTCGATATAGAGCTGGGGGCTGGAGTGATCAGAAGACCTGTTTCGAGGCGAATCAGGCGAGGCAGCCAACTTTTTCCAACAGTCCAAGTACAAAGTCACTATCCACCATCCTCGCAGACTTGAGTCTGGGTGTTTAGCCCTTCTTATCGAGATGCAACTTCGCTCGCTTGTTTAGAAAGTGTACTCTGGCACTGGTGCACACACCCAGGTCCACAGCCCGGGCAGTTTCTCTCTGCCTAGGAAGCCCGCCATTCTGAAACCACTGACACTGATTGTTTGAATACTCAGCTTGTAAGCCGTTTCATTGTTCTGGTGTCATCCTCCGTTCTTTTCCACATGCTCGAAAGCAATGAAACACATGTTTCCCTTCAGTAAGCCGCTGCCGAGTTCACAAGCTTGGCGTTAGTCTCGGGGTACCTTTCTGACCCGCTAATTGATCCGGCATTTTTCACACCTGCAATCACCCCCTTTCGTCTGAACCTGCGCGCACCCCGCTCAAGGCTGGCTGGCAAATTGAATTCACAGCCGCTTAAGGATCGCCACCACTTGTCACCTTCGGCTTTCAGAAACCTCATTCCAAAAAAAAACGAGGTCTCACATGTATTTTTTTCCCTTTCAAGAGTTGTTCTGGGCCCAGCACAAAAAGGCAACCCCAACGGCGAGTCCCGGACCTGGGGCTGTGATATTTGTCACCCTTTTTTCGGTCCTGTCTGAAACTTCTTTCTTCAGTCTCGTTCGATAATCGCATGTTACCATGATGTTACTTAAGTTCCTCAGTCGCTGTCGAAACCACAAAGTTCTTATGTCCTTTCCCGCTCCGCAGACCAGGCACGAGCTTGTTTCGCATGGCAACTCTCGATGCGGAGGGGCTGAACCTCTCTTTCCTTCGCACTCGAAAGATTTTCAGGTCGCGTTCCCGCCTTCTTGCATTCACCGCTTTCTAACTTCCCCTCTCCCACCTTCTGCTCAAAATCCCTGGTTTTGAGGCACTTTCAGTCCTATTCCCACCCCCTTCTCTACTTCTTTTGTTTGACGAGAATATGACCTCTTGGCCCCCTCAACCCTCCACCCTTCTCTGTATCCGAAACCGCTGAAGCTTACTCCCGCTCCTTTCCTGTTCCGCAGACTCAGCACAAGGTTGAGCTCGACAAGCGCGATGGCAAGTTCGCTGCCCAGGGCATCCAGCCCCTTCGCGCCCCTCAGGTGCAGGAGATGAACCGCTACCAGACTGGACCCCCCGGTAAGTGAAAACATACGTCTGCAGTCGTGCCTTAGTCAGAGCATGTACTCGTTAATTTCGTCGTAATCTAGCAACACAAGCTCCCATGGAGAGTTTCTTTCCGCATTTTATTTCAGAGTGATTCACGTTCGGGGCCACTTATTGATCGTTCTGCTGAGAGGACTCTGGCGGTGCATGTGGTGGATAATGTTTTGTGCAGGAGGAACGGCACCCTGATCGTTGAAGTAGGCGAATACCTAAGTAGCCCACCTGACGCCTTTTCTTATCTTTGTATCGCTGCCCTTTTATTGCTGCGTTGCTCGAAAGCTTTTGAGTTTTTGAGACTTCGTTTATCTCCCGCTGAACGCACTTTTCGCCCAGAAATTGAGTTTGTCGACTCAACCTTCCCGCTGTCCGTTCGAAAAGAGCTGTTTCTCAGTCCGCTTTTGTACCGCGCCCCTAAAGATTGCTGGTCGTTCGGCCAGCAGCGCTTCTATGCAAGACCATCCGGCCGATGAATATGCTTCTCAAGCGGGTCTACACTTTGGTCGTGACGTCATTCCATCAATATCCGTCAACCTAATCCCCTCGTTGGTGTGGCCAGCGAGATTTTTCAGACTTGAAAGACTTCCCGTGGCCCGTCAGCCTGACTTCTCGACTATGCCCTGCAAACTAAAGCGGGTCAAAGATTCTTAACACACTTTTATGTCAGGTCTGTTTATCAATAACATCAGGTTTGCGTTCGGATGTACGTTATCATATTCCAGGATAGCGAAGTTGTATCTGACAGCGTACTGATTGTTTTGCCAGTCAGTGCAACCTCTTTCCAACTTATCTTGTACACGGGCGTGCAGATGGTTCGTAGCTTTTTATCTTTAGGGGCCTGCTCTGACTCAACAGCGTTTCGCCGCAGGTTATCCTCAAGGAGGGCCGCCCGGTTATGGAGGCGCCCCCCCGCCCTATGCTGGAGCCCCCGGCTATGGTGGCGCTCCTCCCGGTTACCCCCCCCAGTACGGACCCCCGGGTGGTTACACGACAGCACCCCCCCCTCAAGCGATGCAATATGGCGCCCCACCACCCGGCTATCCTCAAGCTCAACAATTCTCAGGGGCGCCCGCTTACACTGGCGCTCCGTACAAGTAACATCAGGCGGTCATCAGCACATGGCGTTTCTTGAACTGGGGGACCGCATGTTGGTTACAGTCAAAGAGTCGTCCGAGAGAGTAGGGTAGGGTTGACGGTCAAGTGTTTCGGGGGTTGGTCAGCGTTGAGGTCAAGTGCACTGCTACGACAGTTTGTCTAAAGATGTTCATTGGTCAATTCGTATGTGCGTTCTGCAATAATGTGTACAAGCGCAAAGTAGTTGGGTAACAGCAAGAAGCGTCTTATAAAACCAGAGGAAACTTTAGTCTGTCATCGTTCAAGTCGCCACCATGAGAATCTCTCTTACGATTGTTAAAACAGCTACTTCAGGCCTCTCGCCACCAGAAGTACGTTGTCTGGCAGCCTGCAATGAAATCATTCGGCCAGGTGGTCGACTGGCTGGGCGGATCTGTGGAGGCAGATGATCAGCCTGGCTGTACTATCACAAGCCTTCCATCAGTGTGCCATGGCACACGGTGACCGCAAGCCTTATGTAACAAGTTCAACTCATGAGACACAAGCCTTCCGCAGCAACGCACTTGGCCAGGCATGATGCATATACGCGCCGCCTATATACAAACATGCTTTCCGATCATCTAGCTTATTGAACGCAAATATATGATCGCGCCGGCCTGCATACAAAAAGCTAGCCTAGTCGACCGGGCCCTGACCCGGGGTGCGTCGCACATCCTAGCCTGCGAGGATCAATCAATACTTAAACTTGTTTGATTGACTCGTGAAGTTATATTGTGTGTTCCGCTGGCATGGCAGGCAGTCACTTGACTGCGGCCGCGACGCCAGCCAGGCGCGCTGGCCGGCGCCATGCAACTTGTCAATGTGGCGTCGAAATTCAAATATGTAAAGCGTCACTGTGTACCTAATTAAGTTTTAAGCAGCTAGTGGTATATCATTACTCCTGGCATCATTACTTTAATTGAGCGAGATTTTTAATGAAATGTTTGATCCGATCCAACTGGCAAGTGCTTTCAGTCATATGCAGTGCGCGCGCGGGCCGGTTGGAGCGACTGAGGCCATGCATCAGATCGGATACCGTATACACCGATGAATACCCGATGCATATCCAAGCCCGAGCATTATCATAACAATAAAGGTTCAATTGGCGCGCCAGCTCAGCTGATCCGGTCCCATGTAAGTTCTGGTCGATCCACTGCATGTTGCTACGATAACATATATAAGCAACTGCGCGGCGGCGCTGGACAGTGACAGTGACAACTTGAATTAGCTTGCCTAGCTCGAGCCTCCGGCGGAGTTCACGGTTTTCAAAAGTTCATGCTCAAAACGCAACTTTGAATCTACTTTAAAATGGCAAAGTAAATTGTATAAGCCGGCCCGGGGGCAGAGGGGCAGTCATTCATGTCCCTCAAGAAAGTGCGATGTTCTGCACTACATGTATATAGGTTGACGGATTCAAATAGGTCAATTTCTAGATCACAACATCTGACAAATCTCATGACAAGTTGTTCAAGTTGTCGGCGGCTGACAAACAAGGTGATGCAACTTCAATGCGAGCCAGGCTAGTCAAGACCATGCACACCGTGCATACTGGACTGTACAACAAACAATAGCAACGATGCACTGTTCTGAGGATGCTGCCTACGAGTGTCATGCACAATTTACACAATTGAATGAGCGCCACTACCAGAGCTGCCGCCTACCAAACAATCATGACGTCCTTCTAGTTAACGACCTACTATGCCTCTCTATTGAACCTCAAGGAGCTTCTCCGCAAAGTCCTTCAGCCGATCCTCCCATGTCTCGTACACGTTCTTCCCGTGCTCCTGGACACAAACGTGCTGCTCGACCTTCTTCCTGAGACTCTCTAGATGCTTCGGGTCCCCATGGTCCATCCGCATGTCTTCCCTGGACAGCCCAACCGCCTGTAGCCGCAGGTAATTTGCCCCCGTGAGCGTTTTATTCGCCGAGAGGTGCTGCGCGTGGGAGGTCCCGCCCATCATCACGTCGACCAGATGCATCACCCATCCGAACCGCCCTCGACTCGCCAACTTGGACCGATCCTTGCTCTCGCGCCCGCCTTCTCCAGTCCCCAGCGAGAGCACTAACATCTTCTCAACCGGGCCGGGAAAGTTCTTGGGCGATTTGAAAACATGTGCCATGCCATGTAGCACGGGGTTATTGGCAGCCATACCGCCGTCGATAGCCAGGATGTTGAGGTTTGGGCCCTCCAAAGATTTTGCAGGGAAGTACGTCGGGGCCGCAGACGTGGCTCGGCACACATCTCTGAGCGGGAGGTTACCCCTGACCTTGTCCATGCTGCTGAAGAAGACCAGAGAAGAGGATCGCAGGTCGTAGGCGGGGACGAGCAGGGGCTTGAGGGTGTCCGAAAGCGTCTGCTCACCGAGCGCGGTGACTAGCTTGGACTCCAATGGAGCTGCCGAGTACAAAGGAACAATTCCACACAGTGCTTTTCTCCATCCACGGACGGAGGTGGAAGACGGGAATATCTGGTTGGCCAGTTTTAGGTACTCCTCGCTCGCCTCTTCGGGGCTATAGAGGGCAGCCTTCTGCAGGGCGCCCTCCACCTCCTTCCGTGCAAACAGCATGCTGGCTAGGATCGCCCCGGTGCTGGTGCCTGCATCGCACAAAGGACAATGAGATACAATCAGTGAGTAAGATACAGTCCGTGCCCCCCGAAGCACTTCCTTGTCAACATCCATCCGTTGCTCCCAGCTCTAGCTACGTTTTGCTGGGAAGGTCATCAGGCCTGGAGCGACGAAGTGGGGCCGATGCTTCAGCTTCTCCTTCCTTGGAAAAGTGGAGCATCGGGAAACGGACCAGCAGGCCCATCTACGTTATGACTCTTCTCAGTGTTAGGCAAGCCAATCAGCGTATGACCGCTTCACCAGATTTACGGACACAATTCGTGAGAACGCGATTCCGACCGCAGGGCATAATCAAGAGAAAGGAGGTCAATCTCAAGGGAAAGGAGGTTGGATAGCTGCATGTGCGCATGGGCTCAGATTCGACAGGAAAAGCGGTGTACTTGTAAAGCCGCACAAGGAACAGGGCGTCTTCAAAGTCGTCGACACAGGTACTCAAAACTCTTGGCTTGACGACGGAAGTACCAGTTCTTCCATTAAGTGCCGCTCTTTCGAGGTGCAACTACATTACGCATCTTAGTCAGAGAAACAAGGAAGCCAGCCGAACAGGCTGGATAAATGTTTCTAAAGGCAGCCCACAGCCTGCCCGCAGAAACAAGAACCAATGAAGAATCATTGCAGCACAGCAACTCGGACGAAAGCTTCCAAAGAAAGACGAGAGTCCCCAGGCTGTCCGCACTGAGCCCATCGCCAAAACTTTTCACTGAGACCGTCCGTTTCGTATGCGTCTCGAATGGTTACGTCTGACAGACAATGTCAAGAAACTTTGAACCGCTCACCAGTTACGGCGTCGAAGCACTCCCAGATCTCCTTCCCTCCCAGATGCTCCTTCAGCTTGCCGAGTATGACCGCGGGAATAACACCCCTCACCCCGCCTCCGTCGATGCTCAGGATGCGGATGACCCCTTTCCGCTCCCACTCCACGTTTCTGTGCTCCTTGAAAGTGGGCATATCGACTTCGTCGCCGATCGGTTCGCCCTCGCGCTGAACCCAGCTCACACCCAGAACAGAAGTGCCTTGACCCTCTCCACCGCTTCGCGCGCTTGTCATTATAGGAGAGGCTCAGCGAGGTCAGCCCCGTCATCTGGCCCAGCCTTCCCCCTAGGGCCCTCGCGCCGTCGACCCCCATAAAGTTGCAATTCAGGTTCAGCGAGGTCAGACCTGTAATCTTGCTCAGCGGTCCCGCTAGGGCCCTCGCGGCCTCGGCCCCAATGTGGTTGTGTGCTAGGTCCAGCAAAGCTAGCCCTGTGATCTTGCTCAGCGCACCCGCCAGCTCCCTTGCGCCTAAGGCCCCAATCTTCACCAGGCTCAGGGAGCTGAGTTTCGACAACCTGCCCACCGCCTCGGTCAGAGCCCCGGAGTCAGTGTTGTTTCCAACTAGTTGCAGCAAGGTCAGCCCCTCCATTCGGCCTAGAACCCCTGCCAGAGGCCTCACATCCAGCTCGAGCTCGTAAAGTCTTCCCAGGCGCAACTCCGAGACCCTTGGAATGAGGCCATCTAACTCCGCCTGCTTCTCGGGGCTCAGCAGCTCTCCGTCTGCTATCTTCAGCAATAGAGGTTGTATGTCAACGCCGGCCTGGTCATTGCCAGCCATGGTGCCAAGAAGGATAAGACCTGCAACCGAAATGCATGTCAACATCTTGTGAAAGGACACACAACACAGTCAACTCGACTTGCATCCAGCATGCTATGATCGTGTTGCATTCGATGCATTTTTGAAGAATCCGTATCGATCTCCTTCATTTCACTTGCGGCAAGGACTCAAACAGGTGGAAGCAAGCTAAGTCATCAACTTACTCAGTCACCCTTCCCCTGCCTGCTCTTCCAGTCTGGACACTCCATAAAATGCGCAATGTAGACACATTGAGTAAAATCCTGTACATGTGAACATGAATGTAAGGAAGACAGGAGTTACTTCATGTGATCAGCTTATGTATCCCTGGCCGGCCTAATCAGCACGGATCGGGTTACGCGAATGGGGGCCCACTCCAAATCCAAAGCAGATGTTCAAACAGTGATATGATGCCACATACTCGCTGACAGATCAACAAAGCCCAAAAACTAATTGCATTATTGCAGCTGAAGCGGATTCAGAAGATAGGCAAGGGTTTTGATGCAATCACGAAGAAATCAAAATGCAACCAGCGACAACCTGGCAGCCGCACATAATGCACCATAGGAGATCCTGAAGGGGACCGCTTGAGCTCTCTGACAAATTTTCAAAGCCCGAAAGACTAATTGATAGTTGCAGCTGAAGAGGATTCAAGTAGCCGGCAAGCGTTTTGATGCAATTACAAGGAAATCAAAAGGCAACCAGCAAGGAAACGAGCAGCCTGGCAGCATTATGCACCGCGGGACATCCTGAAGGGGAACGCCTGAGCTCTCTTGCTGACAAATCATCAAGACCCAAAAGACTAGTTGCAATGTTCAACAGCTAAAGAGGATTCAGAAACCAGGCAAGGGTTTTGATGCAATCGCGAGGGAATCAGAATGCAACCAGCGAAGGAATGCGAAACGCGGGACATCCTGAAGGGGAACGCCTGAGCTCTCACCTCAATGTGCAATATACATATAGTAAGATATGATCTTGCCCATAAACGTCCCACAGGTTTGATAGTCCAGCTGAATGAGCTCTCAACCCAAAGTAGACGCCATGCTGGGGGAGGAAAGTGCTGCGCCGACGTCGTTGACTGTGACCAAGAATATCCCTGTGACAGTCTGTCTTTCAATCGACATGATCAGGATTCAGCATGCATCCAAAGATACGGTATTCACCACACAACGTGTACGGTACTACCGGTAATAGCACTCAGGGTGACGCCATGGTTTTTGTGTAGTGCTGTACAACTACGGTACTGTAGTATTGCAGTACTAGTAACTTCCACCCGTAGGTAGTACTGCTGTACTGCCTACGGTGCCAACTTTGCTCACAATCATGGTCCACTGATAAACCTGACCAGCTAGTCGCTAGGGTACCGGTACGTATACCGTACGTACCGTATACTTACGACCAGTACGAGGCGGCCGCCCCGCGCCCGCAATGTCCTCCCATGATACCGTACCAGCGTTTAATTTCGTCGGTCTGGGTGCCAAATAATTAATTTCGAATCGATCTGACATTTCGGCGGAGTGATTTATATATTTCCAACATTTCGTAAAAGTAGCATTCCTCTGCTAAAACGAACCATTACCAGCCTTTAACGCCCATTTTTTCTATTCGACCTTTTCGTCATCGAATGAATACTTTTTCAAAAATTTTCGGCAGCCCAAATGATTATTTAATTAAAAACGAAATTAAACGCTGGTACGGTATATCAGGTACGGTACATGCAGTGCATGATATGAGGGTCAGCTTATAGATGGTTTCTTTCGGTATACCTTTCTTTTCTTTCGGTAGCCCAGAGGGCAAAGATATAGTGTACAAGATCGCACTGCGTCGCACTGCGGTGGTAGGACGGTAATTCAGGTTGGATTGACCCTGGTTTACGTTCTGGTTCATAGAATGTTCAAAACTAAACCAAATCAGGTTTCGTCTTCTCCAATGGCTTCGAGACACCCTCGGGGTCCTCTCGAAGCTCCTCTAACCACCTCGAAGTAGTTTGGGTCAGTCTGAGAAACCCTGCCAACTCCAAACAACCTGGTTCAAAGGGGTATTTCCATTGGATTTTCTGCCTGTCAACTGCCACGATAAATTTCCTTCGAACAAGAGGAAATCACCTTCGGGGCAAGCTGGGATGTCAAAAACATTTTTCCAAAAAAAATCTGACGGAAATGTGCACCGCCAGGGGAACATACCTGGTCAACAACCTGAGAAAAAACCATTTTGAGCATATAAGCTGGGAGTTTTGACCATTAACGGTGCACATTTTCGTCAATATTGTGATTTAACCGTTCGATAGACATCCCAGCTTGCCCCGATTCAGTTTTAGGGGGGTCAATGAGAATTCTATCATTTCGTTTTTCTGACGGCCAAGGGTTCATGTAGGGGGGTAAATGTTCAAACTTCCTCAACTTCAGACTTTCCTCGACAAGTCGTCAGTGAGTTCGAGGTGGTCCCAGAGTGCTCGAGGGGGCCTCCTTGGTCCCCCCCGAAAGATGCAAAAGACGGGACTCGATTTGACCACGTTATGACCAAGTTACGCCCCTTCAAACCCTAGAAACCCTCTTTTCTGGCTGAATTACCGTCCTACCACGTCAATGCGTCCTTAATCTTACGTTTTCGGGGTCCGGAGTCCGGACTGATTTGGGGCAATTTCGAGGTACTCGGGTAGCATTCTGGCACGCGTACGAGATGCAAGTTAGCGACGACTGAATGATCCGATCTGCACTGCTCAGTACCGCATTGAATTGCAGGAGTTTCTTTACGCAACATGCCAGATGGGGTGCAATGCACATCGATCAATATTCACTCGACGAACTCCGAGTTGTCTTAGTAATCTAATCAAACGCGGCAAGCTTGCCGGCGCTGCTCAAAGTCCTACTTAGGGCTGTCAGTTCGCCCCGAACGAGCCCCGAACTTGGTCCGAGTGGACAAGATCCCGGCTTATTGTACTATAGTACGCCCCGTCAGGATGCGCAGTGATCGTGGTCAATGCACCGAGTGACGCGGCTTGTTGACTTCAACTTCGGAACTTCTTGATGACTCAACATTCCGGGACCAGCTCAGGGAAACGGAGTAACCGGATGGAACCGGATGGCCACGAGGATCATGCCCTCAATCTTTCTTTCCTTAACTTATCGGGGGCGTCATCCTGGATAAGTTGTACAGACCGAGGTACAGACCTTAAGAAGAAGCTTCGAATTGGGCTGCACTATGTTCAGAAACTTCTCATCATGTCCACGCAGCACCAGACCTCAAGGGTTCACTGTTGGGAGGATCAGGAGGAGGCAACGGTATACATCCACATAGTCCAGCTCGTACTTGTTCCCTTCGCTGAGGGCACTTTTTGTTTCCTTCATAACAACAAGCCTCCTGCGGTGTCAAAGGCTGTAGCCCTGACGTCACGCATCCCGTTCTTGACACTTGCAGTCTGCCCCCGCTACCCCCAGCCCAGTGCGCCAAGACCGGCACTGGTGCGGCTGCTTCGGGACGATGACCGGCGGCAGTTGTGCCTCCGGCAACTTTTTGAGCCCCGTCCCGTCGCCGCTGCCCGGAGCGGCGGCTACTGCCAGGAGAATCTCTACAAAGTGCAGCTACTGCGGTTTCTCTCTGGCCTGGGCTTTAGATTTATTGATTCCAGCGGATGATCAACCAGAGCTTTCAGACGCGTCTTGTCACTCTAAGGTGCAGGTCAGACATTGTCAGTGTGCGTTTTCAGAACGCCGAAGAAATGCTAGAATCTGCAGACGGGAGCTTCGCAGTAGTCTTATTATTTGCTGGACTAGAGAGGCTGGATTGTGGACCCGAAACTCACCCCGCGCGCGCTGGTCAGCGCGCATCCACCCGCGCGCTGCGGATTCAGCCCAATCATGCCAGCATCAAAAAGTCAAACGCACGGCATCCAGCACCACGGGATCATCATATATATCAAAACGGTTCGAGAACTGTGCGGGCCAATTGCCTAGACACATTTTGCAAGCCAACTAAAATGTTGACAAGCTTCAGCTGTATCAACGAGCACGTCACGTACTGCAAATGGAAACCGAATCCGACAATTTGAAGGGAGAGCTCCTATGGTCTTTTGAAAGGTTTCGAAGGAAGCCAATTATGATGAGATCCTACTAATCAAACAAAGTGAGCTCGAAGGAGTTTTACAAGGAGAAGCTACAAGTCACAACTTTAGCAAACGGCCACAGGTGTATGCTGAGAATATAGTCCAGCCCTAGTACTAGTCTAGCGAGTACGCCCGTCAGCTACTTTGTAAAGACTAGGATGTAATGGTCACTGGATGGCTTGTACAAAGACTGACTGCTGTGTATGCTTCTAGCGGCAATCGTCCTCTCCAATGTTCCAGTATCTTTTCGTACTTCCTTAGACTGCTTCCCAACTCATCCACCGAGTCTCACTTCCTAGTCTTGTTTGTCTGCCTGAGCAGCATCAAGTAAAAGAAGAAGCTATACGCAAAGAAAAACGCGACGTAGATCCCCGTGTTCACCCACTTATGCACTCCCCCGGCTTTGAGCCCCCCGAGGATGTCCCCCGGGGTTAAAGTACAGTTAGGTGTAACCAGGCCGTCATTTACACCGTCGAAGCACCGGTTCGTTACCCCGGGCGCATGGAACTCGTTCTCGAGCAACATCTCCAGCGGGTACTTGAACGTGGAGATGTAGTGCGCCCAGATCCAGTACCATGGAATGGTTTGCCTGGGATGACGGCGAAAAATAAGGGGGGTCAGACGGAAAGGTTATGGAAGTAAACGACCTTGCAAACTGTGAAAATGTGATGTAGCTAGATCCAATACCAGGGAATAGTTTGCCTGGGGGAGCGGATGATAAAAGGGTCAGGCGGGGACTTTACGCCGACAAAAAGCTCGCATACTGAGCAACGTTGGCTAGGTTTAACAAGTATCTGGGTTGAAGGACGTCGAAGCGAACCACAACCAGCTACTTGTGAATAGAAAGGGCATCAAGGCCTCTGGATGTTCGTAACTTCCCCTTCTCTTCCAAATGTCCAAGTAGTGGTTCAATCCTCCTATGATGCACCAGCGTTGCGGAATCTTGGTCGAGTGACCTTCGTTGGATTATTTTAGTTTTAGATGGAGGCAAACCAGATTAGGTGCTCACATCAAGGCCGGCTTCTGGATTGGATGAAGTCGAATTCGAGAAAGCGTGGGAAACGAGAACAGCCAATCACATGCCGAAAACTTCTTGGCAAAGAAGATGAACGGTGTGAAATCTCCTTCCAAGGGTGCCAGAAAACCGAACTTCCGTGGAATGCATAGCATCGCGAAGAAGAACCGTCTGATGGTTCTTCAAGGAGCTTCCATACCCGTTCTACGCTTATCTAAGTCCGAAGCGCTGTGTTCAACGCCTACCCGAACACTAACGGAACCAGCAGAGGGTAGCAATAGCCACCGGTTCCTACGGAAGTTTTAACACAACCAAGGGGGTGCGCGCTCACAGCGTTGTGAAAAGTCGGAAAGCAGCCAGAAGTAGGCCGTAATTGAAAATGCCGTTCCTTCGGAAGGCCCGGTTTCACACGACCAAAAGGATGCGCGCTCACAGCGGTGTGAAAAAGGCCGGACTAGAGCAGCCAGAAGTAGGCCGTAGTGGAGAAGACCGTTCCCTCGGAAAAAAAATTACACAACCAAAGGGGTGCGCGCTCACAGCGGTGTGAAAAAGCCGGAGAGCAGCCAGAAGTAGGCGGTGGCGTAGAAGACCAGGATGTTTCCTCTGATGACGTTCGGCACAACCGCGCCCCAGAAGAGCACAAACGTGTTCGCCACGATGAGGACCAGCCACACCGAGAGGACGAAGAAGAGGAACGGCTCCGTTCCGGCCGCCATGCCCACCTGCAGTCAGCGGAACCGGAACGGAAGGGTCAGACAGGGACGGTGCCGTTTGGTTTTATAGTAATAGAGGGTGCTCCGTTCCGGCCGCCATGCCCACCTGCTCTTCACGGAACCGGAACGGAAGGGTCAGATAGGGACGGTGCGGCTCCTGTTTGGGTGACCGAGGGTTTGGTGCTGGTATTGACAAAGGAGCAGCAGTACAATAGCTGCCCTGTTCAAATAGCGTATGTTCATCTGCTGCTTGAATTCTCGCTGTTCAAGACCCTCTATCGCTGAAACAACCCGTCTTTTCTTTGTTCTGGTTGAGAAAATGAACGTCCACGTTCAAGCTGCTTGTTCCGTTTCAGAAGGCCATGATCATGTCTGACCGGCTTCCACATCCTCGACAGTAGTTTAGTGTAAGTAATTCAAGCAGGAGCACGCGCTGGAACAGCGACTCAAACAAGGACTTGCTTTACAGTTACGTGACTCAAACATAACCCTCATTCAAACTAAAATTGGGACCAATTGTCTGTTGCATGCATCATTGTCCGAGAAGAACGCCCGTGCCGACCAGATTAAGAGAGAGCGCCGGGGGAGGCGCGCGCGCGTGCCGGCGCGTACCATGAAGTAGGAGATGGCGCAGAATGCGACGGCGAGGAGCAGGAAGAAGGGCGCGTACACCAGCTGCTGCGCCACGACAAACGCGGACGTCCGGTACGCACCGCGGGACGTCTCGCGGACAAAGATCTGCGGACGAAGCAACAGAATGTTTTGGACCTTTACCTTGGCTGCTTATGGGCTGGCTGTGTGCTAATGAAGAAGTGATTAGATGTGCAGTAAGCGGACGTGGGCGGTTATGGGCGGTTATGGGCGGTTTGCCAGCCTTGCGACAGGATTGAAGCCGGATTATTTGCCCAGTAACGAGTGACTCAAGTCTGCAAATCAGTCGGGTTACCAAGCAAAAACACTTCCTTTGAGAATTTTAGAGTAACAGAAGATTCAGGGCCGGTAAGTGGCAGGAAGGCAAGCAAATGCTTATTGCAGCCGGTTCGCTCAGACTGTGCGGAGCAAGACAAACGGCAAAGGCACTCTTCTTTTTCTGTTAGCAAATGTGTTGCGGTGATGATTCGATGACGATGGTCGCATCGACGAGCTGAGAAGTTCAACGATGTCAAAGCGCTTGGAATGCGGAATTTGAAGCGCAGCCGACGAAACCGTGCAGTCACCCGGACCCAAAGGCTTCGTGCAAGAAATACTCAGGTACATAGAAGCGTCGGAAACTTTGTCTTGTAGGCAAACAACAAAGAAGGTCACCTTGAAAGACGGTTAGGTGGTTATTTAACGTCGTTAAATGGAGATTGTAAATAGTGCACTGCAAATAGTCCTACTGATACGACTGATATCAGAAACACGTCTAAAAGAAAACAGCATCTTTCCTTCCGTCATTGAGATTACGGACGCAATATTCGCTCGTCTACGTCTCAAGACTCCTCTTTGTGCTAATTTCTGCCCTTCGCAGAACGCACTCCCATCTTCATTATGTCCTTTTGCAAGCTCGTGAATTTTCTGAAATGGTGAAAACCTGGATCCTTTTTATCTTCATCAACTTCTCTGTGAATTTTATCAAAGTTTTAAAAGAGGCCTGAAAAAACGACCAGTAGGGCGCGCACGCGCGAGCGCTCACCAGCCGCTCCTCCAGGAACACCGGCAGCGTCTGCGTCGACGTGAACAGGATGCTCGAGATGACGAATATGATATACGACACCCGCGCCTGGACGCCGAACGGCGTATAGCCTATGCGGAAGAAGAGCGATCCCAGGATGAAGCTCGACGTGCACAGGATCACCAGCCGCGCGGTGAAGAGCTCTTTGGTGCGCAGAGTATTGCGCGCGCCGCGGTCGCACAGGACCCACAGCTGCGACGCGAACGAGGTCGCGAACTTGTCCGCGCGCGGCCGGCCGAGCGCGGACGGCGCGGCCGCGGCGCGCGCGAGGGGCCCCGCGGCCTCCAGCTGTGCGCGCTGCGGTTGAAGAAAGGGGTGGATCTTCTGGCGTTGATCGACGAACGGATAGGTATAAAGTCAAGTGTTGCGAGCTGCCAACCGTCTGCTTTTTCTACCAAAAGCTCGACAGCGATAACACCTTCAAAACCTGGTGGTGACGAGTTTTGGGATCGCTAGTAGCGCCGGAGCCAAAAGGGATGAGAAACTCAGTGCGCTCAGTGACCCAAGACGTCAGTGGCTCAGAGATTCACGAACCAACCGGACGATCACGAGAGTACTCATCAGGCATAAAGTGAAACTGTTTTCCGGAAAGACCAGCAATTAGCCATTTGATGGACCCACATCACAGAAGACGATTTGAGAGATAAGGAGAGAAGCGAGGGAATCGAGTGTGATAGTGGACATCAAAAGGACTGCCTCCGGACCGATTTCGGACGACGAAAAAGACCACCCAAGTCAAGAAGAGGAACTTCGGTCAATGTCAAAGTGAGAGAAAGATACAGACGTCAGCTTACTGAGAATGCAACCAAAGGTTCGATCCCTTCCGGGCTCTGCTCCAGCTCCTCAATGACGTCCAGGGCGAACTCGAGTTGGTTCACGTGGGCGACCACGTGCCTGCCGAAACGGCGGAAATGGTCGCCGAGGCCGGCCGTCGGGCCGTGGTACACCGGGCTGCCCCGGGCCAGAAGCAGAAGGCGGTCGATGAGCGCCAAAAGCCTGGACGATCAAGCAAGCGGAGAGTGTGACTAAAGATTTGGGAAGATCATCATCGGAAGTATCACTCGGAGTTTGGCGGTCAGCGCGGTTCACGTTCCAGAACTGGTTATGCTTTCTTGTTGCCGTCTTCAAGTTCTTCTTTTGAACAGTTGAATGGAAGCAGATGGCAGCGTAGGCAGGAATGAAACGGAAAGATGGACAAGAGCGTAGAATTTCTTGATGTCAAATTGGGTCTTCCGGGACCAAGGTTGGCAGCGCATAGAAATCAAGGCACTCAGGTGAAACAGCACGTAATATTACAGAAGGTGAGCCTCAAAATCGTACGCAGATAAAGCTGAAGAAGCAGCATACAAAAGGAGATCCGGAGCAGATACTTGGGTCTAAGTTTAAGCAGGGGAAAGCGGGAAGAAGCCCACACACGCTCGATATAACTGCAACAGGTGAGCCCACCTGAAGCTGGGCTGGTGGATGGTAAGCACGATCGTGCGGCCGCGCGCGCGCGCCATGGTGTGCAGGGTTTGCACCACGTTGAGCGCGGCCGTGGAGTCTAGGCCCGAGGTCGGCTCGTCCAAAAACCTGGGACACTTTACCTAGATAGCACATTGGTTAATGCCGACAAGACGGGGGGAGCTGTGAGGGGTAAAGAAACGACTTAGCAAGACCGTGTTTGATTCGTGAGATTGTGCGATAGAGAAAGGACGAGCGGTCTCAGAGTCGTGGCAGGAAAACGCGGGATACATCAAGATCTGCCGGAAACGATTCCAGTGAACATAATCAGGAGCAAGGGCGAAGGGAGGAAGAGACGCGAGCGGAGCTCTAAGAAGCCCCGGCCAATGGGTAGAAGTAAGCACTGCCACGCAATGCATGGGATATGTCTGTCGATTGCAGTATATTTCAGGAAAACGCTCACAGCACTGATGGATCGTGGATCAGGTCAACGCCGATGGACACACGTCGCTTCTCGCCTCCGGAGATCCCGCGCGCCTATACCAGCAGAGAAAAGCTGTCTAGTTCAGAAGGAGGAGTTGCTTCCACTTTCCGGTTGAAGGAATGAGCTCAAGCTGGAAGCCGCCCTGTCATCTGTTTTGGAACTCTGAAGGGAGCGTCCCTTACGAGTGATTATGGGAAAGCATGCGCCGTTTAGGAAGACAAGTCCGCAAGAACGTGATCTTTGAAGGCTCTTTGAACGTGTTTCGTCGAGATTTTGCACTCTCTCAAGGTTCACAGACATCACATCAGACGACTCTTCGATTTGGCGACAGGGCCTAGTATTCGGTTAAGAGCCCACCGTTTGATTACCGAATGAGCTACTGCTGATGTTTAAGTGTACGTTTTACAGTGCGCTTTCCTGCCAGCTCCTCTGATACCTTCTGCAAAGCTTTTGTTCTCGGCCACTGCTGCTTTCAGCACTTTCAGCAAACGGTCCCCTCCAATCCGAAACCTTGCACTCAGAACAGGCACTGACCAACAGATTCCCACGTTCTCATTCCCAATACGCGTTTCCAACACCTGCAGCGTAGAATTTTCCATGACTCCGGAAAAGTCCCTTCAGAAAAGGCAGTCATCAAAAGACTCAACGAACTCGACAGACTCACGCTCTCATTCCCGATGCGCGTGTCCGCACAGCTGGCCAGTCCGAGCTCCGCAATCGTCTTCTCGACGCGCGCGGCCTTCTCTGCGGCGCTCATGCTGCTGGGCAGTCGCAGGCGCGCGCTGAACATAAGCGTCTCGCGCACTGACAGAAGCGGGTACAGCTGATCGTCCTGCAAAAAGTAGGTCAATTTTGATTTTTTTGGTCCTTCATGTGAACCAGGATGGTTTGGGCTGGTATGGGATGGTTATGGGATGTTTAAGGGACGGTTATGGGTTTCTTAGAAAGACGGTTATGTGTCCTATAACGGTGTACAGGTGGGCGTAACCATCCTTGGGAACAGGTGAAAGCCGGGTCATTTGTGGAATAACCGGAGACTCTAGGAAGTTTGGCAGGCAGCCTGGTTAGCAGTAAGTCCTGTGCATCTTCAGATTATGCGCCTAAGACTCGCTTCGCTCTCGTGAAGAGACGTTGAGCTGATGAAAGTTTTGTGCAAGGAGGCCAAGAGCCACGGAGTGAGGATATAAGATTTTGCCTACAAGGAAACAAGTTGGACTTTGAGCCGAGATCTGTTCCTGCTACAGGTATAAACTTCCTTGAGAACACATTGTCCTTTTGAAGCCTTTATGTACGAAGTTTGCGACTCGACGTCTTCGAACAGAACAGAAATCCAGGACCGCAACATTTGATTCAACAACACGAAGATGCTGAAGTGCTCCTTAAACGGAACACACGAGAACCTTAACTCCTTAACGGTCGGCCTTGCAGCCCCGGACGTACCTGCATCACATACCCCGACAGTCTACGGAAGCTTGCATCCATCGGCGCTCCATTGACGAGGAAGCCGCCCTCCAAATCAGAGCCGTCGATGCGCCCGCTGATGGCATCCAGGAACGTCGATTTCCCGGCGCCTGAGGGTCCCACCACCGCAAGGATTTCGCCGTGGCGGGCGACCGTGCTGACGTCATTCAGAAGGATCTTCTGGCGGGAGCCCTCCGCGGTCTTTGATCCGATCTGCTTGAATGGAGAAGAGCGGGTCAGCAGTTTATTTGAGCCTGTGATCTGACAAAGGCGAGCTTCGTTCTGGTTGTTTGTTATTCATACAAGGGAGGCCGGAATATGCTTGTGGAAGTGGCGAGCTAGGCGGATTTGAATGAAAAGCTTACTGCGGGTGACCCTGTGAGGTCAGTCCTTTTCTTTTGACTTGATCTGCAACTGAATGCTGGTGGTTTTGCGAACTTTATCGAACAGACTCTTAAGAGGACGCACCGAGGTGAACCAGCTCTCATCACAAGTACGATATCCCCATTATTCAGAGCAGCTAGGGTTACTTAATAGAAACTTTTTTCGGGGGTTTCTCAAAGGCTCGACTCACGCATTGATGAGTCTATTCAACTTCACTGAGTCACTGAAATATATAATGCTAAGAGTTGAGGGCGGCTGTAGAAAAGAACGTTGTTCTATGGCCGTTTATGCACAAGCCTGGACTACTGGGGTTTGACGTTAGATTCACTTACGGCAGAGTCTTGTTTAACAAACCCAGCTGACCTAGTACTGGTGCTCAGGGCTTCTGCTTACTGTCTGCTTCTTGACAAATACGCCGCACACCGCTTTGATAGCGGTGAGGCCAAAGAAGAGCACACACTGAAGCACATTCGAGAATCAAAAGCCTGCCCAGACCAAGCTCAACGGGCTGACCTACAGAGCGCGGTCACCAAAGACAGTAACCAAGCAACTCACCTTGTAAGTCACCTTCTGGGCCAGAAGGTCATACGTTTTCTGATGCTGCTTGACACTTTCCGCCACAGCCATCTCGTTGATGGAGTCTCCGGATAACATGTGTGCGTCAATCAGAGCAGCGCCGTTCCGCTCGGGAGCTCCAAGCTGACCTGCCAGCACCGCCGCGGACTCGACGTCGAAAGGAGACATTGGAAAGAGGAGCGCGGGCTTGGCAGTGCAAGAAGGAATAAATGAGAGACGCTGCAAGCTGCAAGTATCACTGCATATCAAAGCTTTTAAAGTGAGCAGAGCTGAGGCAGAGCTCGCTGTCGGAGGATTGTCTTCTTAGCTCGGAAGTCACGGCTGAGAGAGTACTTAATTATTTATGTCAGCTGTTCCAAAGCGAACAAGTCAGGAGTAGATCCACAGAGCATGAGCACTCTCCTTCAGACGACTATATTGATCATGGCCAAACGCTACGACCGAAAGCTTCGGAGACCAGAAAAAGTTGCCCCTAGCTCGGAGAATTGCACCGTACAGTCTGTTTCTGATTGAACCTACTAGTACACAGGCGTAGTAGTGGTGACGCGCCACAGGCCCACAAGATAGCCAGCTCACGCAAGCAGCGGTCGGAAGACTGAAACCACTAGGCGACCCGGCGGTGCAATATTATCTGTTTGTATCATTTTGGGCAGTGCAGGAACCGACAAAAGGGCCGCAGACTCGCTGGACTGCTACAGCACCAATTTATGCATGCAATGCGGCCATTCTAGACTCACGCCTTTCGTCATGCCGTCATGCGCTCCGACTTGCTCCGAAGTCCGCCTCGGCGGACGCATTTACTTTCCCACGTCAGTGGGAGTACGATATTACGGTACGACGGCGTCACGGCTAAGCTTCCGGCGATCGTACCGGGTTCAAACACCGGTAAACAATTTGTTAGCTTCTGCAGGAAATTCGGTCGGTTAGCTTTATATTACAAGCGGGGAATGATGACCGGTCAGAACTCGGACCGGTCACGGTATCTCCAGCTAGTGCCGCACCGACTCGCCCCTCGCCGGCCGCCTGGACGCGCGCGCGTCGCACTCAGTGACCAGCAGCCACAATAATTGTACTTCGTCATTCTCGCAGGCGTCCGTTCTGCACCTAAAGCGGATTCACCCGCGGTGACTCCATCCGGACGTCCGGCCCGGAACAGCAAGGACGGTCAGACACGTGTCCAGACGGATTAACACTCTGGTACCGTTCGATTGCAATTCATTCGACGGTTATGATTCCCCGGATTTTATCAACTTTTAAACCCAGTCTAGTTGACTCAAGATCAGACGCCACCAAAGTTGGTTCATTGGATAAGGACCTGTCCAATTGGACGCCTTCATTTTCAGAAGTGAAACGGTGAAAACGCTTTGTCTCTCCTCGGGATCACGTCTCGTCACTCAAATGACTGAAAAGAAGACGTTCAAGCCGTCGAAGTAGGAAAACGTTACCCCCGTTTTCAGTATTTGGCATTCCGGGCAGCTTGTCAATCTGGACGGCTATATTCCAAGAAAGGAGAAGATTGTCTTTCTCTTTTCCAAGTCCTACTTCAGCAACCAGCTTCTCTGCGCTCAACAGCACCGTCGACACCAAGGAGAAGAGCTGGCTGCGGCGTAAAAACTTTTTACAGACTGTGGTTCGGCATCACTGAGCGCTGCGGGTATTAACACTTTCTGACAACTCCTCGTCATCCTTCATACAGGTATGATACTTATCAATGCCAAGGCTCTGAGAGAGCATCAAAGACTTGCTTGAAAAGCTGGCTGGTTAGATAGTGACGTGATTTGACTCTATTTTGCTTTGCCATCATGCATCCTAGTTCTCAATTCTCTCGCATACGTTTTGCATGCTCATTTGCCATCACTTGTAACAAGCCCAGCCAGCTCTTGTCCGTTGTCACTAGAAGTACTCAGCAGCCCTACCTTACTGTAGCGATCAGGAACACGTTTCCATAGTGATCAGAAAAAGGGTATACTTCTAGGACTTTTGGAGCTACATTATTTAGGCTTGTTTCTAGGCAATGACATTTTCATGCATAGAGGTTACTCGGCAAGACAAATAAGCTTCAACGATTGTCTTGCTACCCCTAAAGGATTCTTCGATTGCATGAAGAACAGTACAGTGTATTGACCTGATTGAATCTCAGTAAGACTTATGTGGCTTGCTGAATGCACAACATGGAAATCCATATCATGTACGGCGCCGCGAAACTTGGTGCTCCAGAGGTGTGGCAGGTTATCTCGACCTTGACATTCGGGATGAGTTGCCTTGAGTATGCATTGGTCTTGACATGCTTATGGTATCTCAGGCTCTGCCAATCACAGTGCGACCGGACGCGGGCCTGGGTCGGAGCCTGCCAAGTGACGAGTCTCCGGCCGGCCCGCTCGAGCGTACGATTTACGGTACCGTACCTACTAGCTGAGCTTGCTCCCTAGCTGAGGGCGTCGCTCGGGCCTGACAGTGAGGGCGCGTCGCTCACCGGAGGGCTTGCACAGGCTTCCAGGCTTGTGTATCATTGTGTAGGCTTGAGATTAGGTATATTATAGATCAAATCTCACACTGGCAAGCTTCGTACGTGTGTTTCGCCATGAGCTAGCTAGAAGCCGAGTTGTCTGTAGATCTGTACTTGCTTGTTTGTCTGATCTATATTTCCTCCAAATTTAACTTCTCCACCGGTTTCACTGATCGGACGGGGTGACAACTTCATATTATGCATTAGAGGCTCTCCAACTCTCCGATTGGACTCGGATGCATGATATTGAGTCATCGAATATTGACTCATAGATCACGATCATAAGAGTCAAATGATATCTCACATACTACGCCATGCCGGGCTCAATGAGCCGGCCGGGCGCGCTCAACTTTCTCATTGGCTAATTCAAATGAAGCTCCGCCGGCGCCGCGCGTCAGGACATTCGATTGTACGCGTAGTTAAATAATCACACACCGGCCGGGATCATGATTGTGCACGTCCATACTATGGACCTAACAGCTGGTGAGTGGGCTCAGTGCCGGCGCACATGTCAATTTACCATCAAATTTTTTTAATACGTGGTGCAAATTGGTTAGTAAGCCTGAAGACGATCAGTGCCAACCTGTTAACACGTACCATCACGGCGTGATTAGCTTGTACTGTCGAGTCAAATGTAGATAAAATTGCAATAAGTTTGGCTCCGAGTCCCGGGCCTAACTAGCCGAATAATGTCACTAGCTACCGAAGTTTGGCAACGGGCAGGGAGCCTGGTTACTCCATTGAACGACATCTACACTTATGCACGGAAGTTCTTGAATTGCAACGATCAACGATTCAAGATCTAAAAACACCATAAATCAGACACTTTGACAATTCTCAGCGGCTTACTGAGCGGCTACATATTTGCATCTTAGCCTAGGCCGATATTGGGGACGTGTACGCCACTTGTTACCGTCTAGAATTAAAAAATGATGTAATCATCTTCCGAGACGATGGGGACGGACGCACGTCGCCGCGAGCGCATGCGAACTAGGTTATGTGAGGCCATTACTCTAATCTCCGTCTACCGTCTCCAACTCGACTGTTTCCCTCTGTCACGTGCCCGTTGCAGAATTATCCGTGCTTGGTCGAGAACGCCCGCTAGATCGTTCACGTTGACTGTCAGATGGTCCCCATGATGCGCCACGTGTAGCAAGTCGCCTTCGCCAAGCTTTTTACACCCTTCGTCGACCGCGACCACCTGCAGGGAGGTTTGGCGCGCCTTGGGTTGGGGTTTTAAGATTCAGATGTGGCGTCAGGGTTCAGAATCAGGGTCTAGTGTTCAGCGTTTGGGGTTTAGGGGTTGGGGTTTGAGTAGAAGCCGGATGTCTCGATCATTCGGAGCCGGTGGATTTAGTCAGTAAACTGCCGCCAAGATCAAAAGACGTGGCCAAATCACCAAAGAGAAAGCTGCAGCATAATTGTGAGTGGGGAGTGCGAGATTATTGTTCGAAGGTGTCCAAGATTGCGGTTCAAAGAGCAAAACTGCAAGCGAGCTGGATGACACATCCTTGAGCATTCTGCTCATAGATTTAAATATGGATTTCTTAGAAGCCCGCGCCTCCACAAGCGAGCATAGGGAGAGGACTTTTTGGGAGGACTGGCGCAGCCTTTCTGACAAACGTTCGGATAATCCAGTCTTGGTTGGCCCTGAATCAGATGGACTAACAAAGGGAAGGTTCAGCGTTCTCATGTCTTGTCCCGAAGCTCAGTTTCAGGTTGTGCAACTTTGTAGCGATTGCCACGAGGCACCCTGATTGCCGTCGTTAGATGAGCGGCTCTCGTCATCTGATCACGAAGTTTTTGTACGAGGTGAGGACCAAAAACTCGGATGCGAAAATTAGAAGCAGATTTGCTGGAAGGGAAGGGGGCCATTCGAAAGACTTTTTGAAAGCTGCACGTATGTAGATCTGCTTCGAAATTACCACCCAACCTTGCTCTTCGCGGTTCGAGCGAGCAACTGAACGATGCTACGATCTCAGTGCTGGACCACGAAGAACAATCGCCATGCATAGTGGAAGGAAAGAGAAGGCGAACGTAGAGCAAGAAAGAAAGAGCAGCTTCGAAAGAGACTTTCAGTGCTTTTCCAACAAGAGGAAGTTCGGCAAACATGTTCTAAAAATAGGACGATTTGCGGAACGAAATGCAGAACGAAATGCAAAACAATGAGTACGAGAGCCCATTAAACCGCAAAGAAGCCAGGACGAGCCACAGAGTGACAAGGATAACGATGGCCAAGCACGAGAAAAGCGAAACGCGAGAAGGGACAACATGCGTTTATGTCCCTCCACAGGAGAGGGAACTAGATACGGGAATATATTCCCGAGCCTCACCAGTTCCAGGTAGTTCTTTCCGGTCAGCACCGCCAGGTTACGGTACAGCGGGATGCGGTAGTAGCAATTCGTAACCTCGATCACAACCGCGTCCGGCGCCGCAAAGATCGCGTTCGTCAGCCCCGCGCCGTGCATCCCGAAAAGAATGCTCGCGTGTTGCGTTAGCTGTATCAGCTCCGTCAGCCGTTCCCGGTACGTCTGGTTCGAGTTTCCGGGCGAGTAAATGTTGTACGGGACCGGAAACGCGGCTTCGAGCTCCGCTGAGTTTCTCAGGGTTCGAACGGTGGTCTCGCGCTTGAAATAGAGAATGTGGTCCTCGCGGGGGAGCGTCGGACGGGGCGCGAACCCGAGCGACTTGGCGATGAAGCTGGAAAACCCCGCGAGCATCGGATCGACTTTCGTGCCCGTCGTTCGGCAGTGCCAGGGCCACTCGATGTGCCCCGCAAATGCGACGCTCTCGTAACAACCCAAATGCTGGACGGTAGCTTCCAGGCTAATATCGACGAACTTGATGCTCGCGGGGCGAAACGCCTCCAAAAACATGGTGTGCCGCTCGCGCGCTTTTCTAATCAACTCGGGGGGTTTGGCCTCGTCTGGGTTGGGGCTAACCGAGGGGCTCTCGTAGAACTCAACGTCGATGCCTTGCAGGTCCGTAAGGCCGAGTTTTTGAACGGCGACATAGGTGGAGTAGTAGGCGAGGGCAATTGCATGGAAAAAGTTCATGTCGCACCTGCGTTAACAAAGAGAATTTGCGGCTGATAAGAGCGAGTCACTACTAAACTGCTTGAAAAGCGGCTTCGAGACTGGACAGCGCAGAACTGGTGATCCGAGTTGGAACACTCCCGCGAAAACGGTAGCGAGGAGGGGCCCTTAGTTTTTCGCACCCTGAAAGTTGGGAGAACAAGGATAGAAGATTCTTCGCTCGCTTTATCTTGGCGTTTGGATTAAATCGGACCAACTAGGGCAAGTCGAAAATGCTCTCCGCGCATGACCCACAGAAGTATACGATGCCACAACTGCGGGCAGTAGCATCAACTGGCTTGATAAGCACAGGAAGACATTCATCAGAAGTGGTTTCGTGAATCGGGTTAGAAAAGGAGGTTCAGCGGAAGGTATAAGAAGTAAGCAAATGCAACCTGGCCCCTTCCCTCTCCCCCAGCTGAAAGGTTTCTGTAAGTAAACGCAGTTAGGAGAGTTCTGCAATCGGTACCACTTTTTCGCCCTCAGCCTGACTCCAAAAACGATGGTATGTTTCCATTGATTGCAAACGAAAGTCAGCCAAACGAGCTTGGCTGTGCAGCTGGCTACTCGAGAAATCACATCTGTCGGTACACTAACATCTCTTCGATTGCCCCCCCATCACAGGTTACAACAAGACTTGCACATCTCCCGACCAGAAAAGAAGCTCTTGCAACGAAGGAAAGAGGCTCTGACTCATTGATGGCCCCTGGAGATTGCTGTTTACCACAAGTACCCGTAACCAGGAGTCAACAGCACTTATCTGACAGAGAGGCGCACGGTCACGGGCTGACTATATCTTCCTATCCATTGAATCACGGCGTTGCATCCTCAACTGAAAGGCAAATTCTGCCTGAGGGTCCAGAAGGAGAAGGGGCGAAACTGCTCCGTTGCCCCTCCCTGCTTAAGGAGAAGGAGGAAAAGGAGCCTGGAACTTCGCTCACCCCTCGTGCGCGCAGTATATGATGAATGTGCACGGTTTCCACACAATCTTCTGCCCATCCGGCTCTAATAGCCCCGTCTGTGGCAGCGGCCCGGCCGCACGTAGCGGCAACCGCTTCCCCATGTGCCGACACGTCGGCCCCCCGTAAAGCACCGCCAGATCGTTCTGATCCTTGCATTTGGGCCCCACCCCCACAACGTCCATGTACGGCCGGCCCGTTCGATAGTACGGGGGGTCCGGTGGCGGTGCGGGTTCCCTCCGGGTTAAGCAAACCCGCTCAAACTCAGTCGTGCACGCTTCGTCCTGGTTACAGCTGTCGTCCGGGTGTCGCAATCGCCGGTCGGGCTTCCCTTCCGCGGGGATCGAGTGGGGGAGAAACCGGCACGAAGAGCTGCCCCGGCCCGGGGGATCCCTGTGGGAAAACTCGAGCATTTTGTCGTCCCGCACACGGGCGCGTCGCATGCTCCGCGTGAGCAGGTTTTGGCCGTCCTCCGAGGGTTCTGCGGCGAGTTTGACGAGCCACTGCGCTTGGTAGAACCCCACTAGGATCGCAAGCAGAATTGCGACGCGGCGCAAGTTGATGAGGAGACACCGCCGCAGGTGGTAGCCGGACCGTTGAAACCGTTTGGTGACTCGTTTGAGGCCATGATCCATACGGACCCGGGGGGCAGGGGACATGATAACACTCTGAAATAGTTATAATCAGCTCAAGGGTTAAGCAGAACGAAGCCAAGAACCTGAATCGGGTCATATATGAGCTCCACACACGTGCTCACCCATAAGCCCCTAGGGAACCCCACCTGTCCCAGCATCATGAGTCGGGCTGACTGTAACTAAATCTAGAGACCTATGGGGCCATGGCTATGCGCTGGGCAAGTCTTGCTGCATTCACCAGGACAGCTGATGATCGATCACTCATGTTCCCGCGCCAAATCCTGAGAACTTGAGTGGAATTCTGTGCAAACGGGGTTTCATTCTGCTGGCGAGGTTTGGAGCACTAAGCAATGCGTTCAAGGATTCATAAGTCTTTGTTGTCAGCTCTCGCATCATTGCAGATGCATCTTGGCCCAGTGCTGATATCATTGGACGTGCCTGCGAGCTGACACTGCAAGTTATGCGGTCTGAAGATCTGTGCTACGATGAAACCTACAAGATTGTTGTTGTCTGGGCCGTCATCAGAAACGTTCTCTTGCAACTGATGTTAACAACCTCGGACAATGCTGCCTTCGAAGGTTCATATAGACACCATTGTTCTTAATCCATGGGCAGCAAGATCTGAATCAAAAAAATCCACTTGAAGTTGAAGAACGGCGCAACCCATGCAATGCCGCCATGACGACTGCCGCGACGAGCCTGCAGGATGTGAGACCGTGTGGCTGCTTCGGCGACCATATGGCCCAGATCCTTCATTCGAAGTCGCTAAATTTAATCGGTATCCCTTACCGCATGGCTAATTTCTCGGCGACACTCTTTAAGGTGTATCCGTCTGCAGGTACCGCTGCAAAATCCACGTGGTCAGAAGCTGTGGCAATTGTGATTCCTTTCTTATTACTGGGCGCGAATGTGGACGGGAGCCTGCGCTTCAACGCTTCACGTTCCTTGTTCAAAGTGAACTCTTGAGTCTTGGAATGTCCACTTCTCACTTGTTGACAGAAGTTCTCTGCTTGACGCTGATGAGCTGATCAACATGAAGGACGACAAATGTGGCGAAGACCAGCTGGAATGCAGCTTATCCCAGCAGACGTCCTTGTCGCTAGCGGAGGGTAGTGCGTCACGTGGCTCCTCAAGCTGCAACGTAGCAAAGGTGGTGGCGAGAGATTGATGTGGTGGTGGCGACTCTTTTGATGGTTGCAGCAGCATTGAGCCCCATTTTTTGGACAATTTGAGAGCCAGAGTGACTGCGTAGTTGCTCTAAGTGGTGAAACCTCATAACAAGCATGTCGACTAGAGACGCAGAGAAAGCCACTTCAGGCGGCGCTGCGCAGCCGCCGGTGCTTGACCTCACACAAGAGCCCGGCGGCGATCCTAGTCTCTCCACCCCTGCGCAGAGGCAGCGCGCAGCTAGGCTGAGCCTAGGGACTCCTGCAGCAGCTGACTTAGGCAGTTCTGCTTCAGTTGCAACATCATACCATGACGCACTTTCAGACAAGTCAGGCTTGTCTCCATCAGCAAGGCGGGGGAATCAGCGCCGCAAGGGGGCGGGATTGGAGAAAAGGACGGCAGCGTGTGTGACCATTCTGCAGAGCCGAAATCGTGGGGACGTGAAGGTGGAAATGGAGCTGCTGGATGAGGCCAAGACTGTAAAAGCCTTTCTGCACATTGTTGAGGTAAATTAAGTCCAATTCCTTTCTTCTGTCGTGATTCCAAGGGGTTTTCTACGGATTTGACGTTGTGTGCTGGGGGCACTCAGCGTTTAAGGAAAGTAGTGAGTGCCTGTGATTGTGTAACTCATGCAACCAATGGTGATGGGGAAGCCAAGCTGACAAAGGAACATTTCAAGCCTGGTAAGATGTGTTGCTTGGAATCAGGCATATCAGAATGCTGTGCCTGTTCTTTGATATGAGGAAACTCTCAGTGAATTGAGTTCTCTTTTTCTTTCTGTATTCTTGAGAGGTTCTTGCATGGGATCCTGGGGCATCCAAGCTTTATGAGGGCACGGTGAGGTGGTGACTCTATGAAGCAAGCTTTCTGGCAAAAGGTTCAAGCAAGCATGCCTGTGACCCTGTAAATCATATGCAACCACCAATGATGGGGAGGCCAAGCTGACAAAAGACCATCTCAAGCTTGATAAAATTTGTTCTGCTGAAAATCAGGCACTATTGTCTGGAGTTTCAACTTTCACCAGGATGCTGTGCGAAAGAAGCTTCTCAAAGCGAGAGCAACCATAAAGTTCTAGGGGCACTTTTCTTTCAGCCAAGGCTAACGATGACTCCACTCTGCCTCACTGGTAAGGGGTGGTACTGGAATGTGCAATTCACTTGTAATGGCCTCCCAAGACACAAAACAGTATGTCAAAGGGAAAGCAGAAATGGCTGAAAGTGCGCTCATTCAGTTTTCTGTACAACAATTGTTCCTTCTGTCTTCACATACCTTCTGGTTCCACATAGAAACATTTCCCACCTTTTGTAGTCGGTCGCTCGGAGTTTGGGCGTCGAGTGGCCCTCGTGCGTGGAACCAAATCAGGGAGCTGTTTGGTTGGAGGACTACAAGGGCAGGTTGACAGACACGCGGTTGGCTGAGGAGGTCCTGCCATCAGACGCCAAGTTCAGGATTTTTCGGGAGGTGAGTGCCGTCCACTCTTTACATTGATGCATGAAGGTTTTGGACCAGGCAGGGCAGGACAAGTTTCTAAGGACGTCATCGCAAGGCTCGGACAACCACTCACATCCTCAGTGCATGCATTGAGCCTGAGGATTCCCCAGAGTTGGAGCCCGTTTTTTGCTATTTGCAGGCATGTGCTCCCTTGTCGTGCATGTTGCAGTTGCATTGCCTTAGTGAAATATGCGGCAAAGAGGGCATTGTCTTGTCAAAGATTTGAGTAGACTGTATTTATCTGATTACAGTTCTAGTAGTCCCACCTTCTGAAGTTGTCCTTCAGATGCTAACAGGACATTCAAGAACTTCTTTTTTCTTGTCACTCGTCTCAAATGAACGAGAGGCTCTCTTCACATGTAAAGAAAAAGAAGACATTATCAAGTCAGGTTGCCATATGAAACAGTACTGTTGTTGCAGCAGGCGCTTTCTGGCGGACGAATTGCCACCTCTGCCAGCCCAGTAGCTGCCATCGATCTTTGGCACATGATTACGTCATCTGTTCCCTTCAATCAACTGTTTCCAACTCTGCTGGAAGAGTATCTGCTGGTCATGACAGTCACAGCATCTTCTTAAATTGCCTCTTTGGTGTTTGCAGAGCGATCGAGGGCATCCTGACGGCATGAAGTTTGACACCATGTACAACCTGGTCCCCAAAGCCGGAGTGCTCACTAGGTCTTCCACCCAGTATACCTTCTACACAGCAGTTGCTGAGCTCGTGGTAAGAAATTCAGAATTTGTCGGTTACAAGAATCATTGAGGATGGGTTTGTTCTTTCTGCTCGAGATTGTGCAAGGCTGTGCGAAGCTGCGTCTTTTCAAGGGCTCCCCTCTTCTAATGACCTGGTCCTCTGCCGGCTTGACGTTCCTTGGTTCGAAAGTGGAAGAAAGCTGCAGCTTAGCAAGGATACTTGGCCAATGAACCCGAGGCTTGTGCGGGCTTGTGACTCCCTTCTCAATGCGAGAAGAGGCTCGACTCTGCTCAGATGTGGAATCTGCATCTTTCTGCAGGACAACTGCCTCCAAGCGATCTGGATGGAACCACTCGATACTCACCGGAGGATCAGGTGAGCATGACTGGTTGCAAGTCTTCGTCTTTCCTTAGATGTGGGAGCCTGTGGAAAGCACCCCGAGAGTGATGCAACTATGGATCTCCAGGTCTCTATTGCAAGAGCTTCGACGAGGCACTCAGCTCGTGATGTATTTCTATGCGTTGTCTTATTCTATCCGTTCTCGTGTGTTGCTCGGAGGTCACTCAAAGAAGCAATCCGAATGCATTCTGATAAGAACGCATGCTTGTCGCAGCATCAAGATCACAGACGCGTCGGTCGAGATCACGGACAGCGGCTGTGGCATGGACGAGCAAGAGATCAACTCCTGGTAAGGCGCAGCTTGCAGTGACAATGACAAGATGCAGCAACGGTTTGGCACGTTTTGAGTGCTTCGGCAAACACGCAGATCGCTAAACGATCTTAACGAGGAAGCGTTCTTCCGATATCCCTTCATCCGAGCTCCTCAAAGCATCTCTTCCGGAAAGTCGGCCAACTGATCCCAGACTGACGACTACGTCGTTCATTTCCAATTGGAAAACGACTTGCTAACTGAGAACTGGTGACTCAAATCTGTTTTGAGGATTGAATTAGCTATTGTGCCCGAACCAAGTTCGAAACTTCTTCTACCGTCTCGAAGAACCCGAGCTTGAAGTTTCTCTGACCGCAACGTGTCTGCGCTCGTTATCTGAAGATCCTGACTTGTTTCGTAACATGGCATGTCTACTCGAAACAATACCCTCTTTCTTCTGGTTATTGCAGGGGAACCGTCGGCGATTCCCGCAACGTCAACGTGCACGATCTCAGCACCAAGGTGCCCCCACCCTTCCGGCTCCCCTACATCGGCAAGTTCGGGGTGGGGGCCAAAGCAGCGTGCTTCCACCTCGGCAGAGCGGCCACCGTTCAATCCAAAAAGCGAGGGGCGAAGCAAGTCACCGAGCTGAAACTAGACATGGACAAGCTCGAGGAGTCGCAGTGGCAGGCCGCCGGCAGCGTCAACAGCGATCCGGATCCGTCTCAGGTTCCGTACAAGGGGTTCACGCGGGTGAGTTCTTTGACGTGGAATTCTTTGAGTTGCTTCTTGAAAATGGCCTCGAAACAAAGCGTGCAACTGCCAACATCAGAATGTTGATCCTCTTCTGGAATTTGACCCTGTTGATCAAACCTCTTTGGACGGACGATGACCTCCCAGCTTCCTCAGAACGTCCTGTACTTTTGTACTTTTGCTAGTGTAGGATGGAAGACGTGCGCGTGCGCCAGGGAAGGATGGCTGGTCCGCATTGCTTCGAAGAAATGAGAGCAGCCGTGAAAATGGGGGCTTGACCTAACGACTTCTAATTGGAGCCACTTGCCTGCCAAAACAAAACTTCTAAACCACTTGGAAGACCCTTTTTTTGTGAGCAAGGTAATGCTGCATGCTCTGCTTCTCACAACGACAAGCGATGAAGATAAAATTGATGGTAAGATAAGATAAGGATGAGCAATTCTTTGCAGGTGACCATTACCAAGCTGAACGCAGAGGCGTGCACATACGACAGCGCCAGATTGCGCACCTTTATGAAGGACGTGTACCACAAGTATCTTCTCCCCACAAACGAAGCTGCCGAAGTCAGACCCGATCAACGTGAACAAGGGCCCGTGAGCATCTCCATTGACGGGGGAGAATTGAACGACGAGTGGGATAGCGAAATCCAGAGGACCGTGGCGCTTGGCAACTTCCAAGAAAAGTGAGCTCATGCTGACTGCCTCACTTCGATCTGCAAGGCTCGCGCACTCGCGCGCTTCTGATCCCCTTTCTTCTAAGGTTCGGTTGAGTCTTTGCAAGCGGCAGTTTGTTCACGTACGATAGTATTAGCAGGCATGGTACTATGTTGCAATTGAGCCATTGACTATTGCAAGCGACACGAAAAAACGTCTCTTTGGCTTACTGAAAGGCAACTCAAGATAAACCTGGTTCACCATTGAATACTTCCTGTTGTCTCAGCGCCTCAACAGAAGCCAAAGGCTCGCATTGGACACTCTACATCGTAGCAGCCACCGTTCCGGATAATCTCACTTTCTAGCACTCCCTGCTCTCTTCTCGCTATATGCCGCGACTAAGAGTCTGACGGGGTTTGGTGTCCTGCAGGGGAGGCCCGCTTATTGTTGACCTGGAGTTCAGCAAGCCCGCTCTCTCCGCCTCGAGCAATCCGGCCGCGGCCAGCACCAGCACCGGACACAGCATGGAGCCGACCAGGGCACGTGCCCGACTGGAGCTCTTCTACCTGCCGTTTGCGGACGGGGAGGAGCAGCTCGAGTCGACCCTAGAGGCGAATCCAAATCCAGGTGAACTCTGCTAGAGCGCTCCGTTTGACCAGAGGACGGCTGCCTAAAGAAGCGAATGTTGCATTAAATGTCAGAGTTGACCGCTGGCGTGCGAGAGCTGCTTGTTTCAGGATTGCTTGCTGGACCGTACTTTGGGATATATGCGCAGCCGATCAGCATATTGGAATGCAGCTTCAGATGTGAAGCAATTGAAATGCAAGCCTTTTCCTGTTCCCTGTTCATCACATTGCTACTTTTCTTACTTTGAGGCGAATGTCATTTCCCATTTCTTTGGAGGTCTTCGTGAGAAGCACTTAGAAAGTTATATTTTTGATGCGGCATGTTAGCAACCTCCAAACACTTCGCGTCATACAGAGGTGCTGGGAGAAGACAAACAAGGTTTGCTCGTCTCGCTCAATCTCCTCCTCTCCGTCCGCGAAAGCGTGCTGCTGTAGCCACAGGAAGGCTTAAATCGCTAATTTGGCTCGATAACCAGACTTAGGTTTTCCAATCAAAAATCGCGCTGCAACCTCTCAAATGTCCGGCTACTGCCTGACTTTGGTCATAAAAGTAAATCCAGCTTCTGACCGGAACAACCCTGCGAGTCTATTTCTATAATGTTCCTGACTTCGACGGTTCCGACTTTTGGCAGGCGTCACGTTCAGCACCGCTTGGCGAACTGCCTTTTGCTGGATGGCCCGGTGGCTGCCTGATGCCAACCTAGGTTTTCCCGGTCTGCCCTTCCAAAGTCTGCCCCCACGCGCGACACAAGCTCAAAAGGCCAAGGAACCGCCACCCACGGTATGTTACATTGTCCATCTGCCCCCTCCGAGTGTAACGACTCTGTCTGGTTGGAAAACCCGATTTTTGAAACGCCGCAGATATAGGTGCAGCCCAACACAAATGTGCGACAATTCTGGGAAAAGCCGCTCAGGTTTGTCGAGGCAACTCTGGTCAAGCGAGGTGCTTCAAGTACTGCCAGGGCCTAAATATGGCTGAGAAAGTCACAGATTGAATGCCTCAGGTGACGCGCGCCGATCTCAGTCCTGTCTAGTCAAATCATTTCAGAGGCTAGACTGGCGCATGTCTCACCGTTCTTGCGTCGAGTCGTGTTTGCAGAATGCCTGAAGCATCTCCAAACGTCAAAAGAACACGGCAATCTGCTCGATTATCCCTACTAAAGTTGAGGTGCATCTTTTAGGGTGGTCACATTTGAGATCGCGACGTCCCTTGGGGTCGGAATTGAGACCCTTAAGGTGGATCTTCCACCCTTAAGGCGGAAATTCCATCCTAAAGTTCGGGATCGCAACCATTCTAGGGTGGGCCCGACCCCGAAAAAGTTTATAGGGTCTGTGCGTACAGTATAGTACAGCGCCCTCCGCACCTTTGAAACGGATTAAGTTTCAGCCGTCGGTCCGAGCAACCAAGAATGTCATTATGTCCAAAGTGGGTTCCTAGGGTCGGTACGCACCCTTGGGGCCGATGCGGCATTATTAAGGATACAAATATGACCACTTTATGAACAAAGGCCCGGCTCATTTCTGGTCGCAGGCTATGAACCGGGTGAGAGGCATCGTCTACCTGGACGGAGGCTTCACCCCCTCCGAGACGAAGACGGCGCTCGCGGTCGACAAGCCGTTCAACAGGGCCCTGATGATGCTCGGCGAGAAAGACGAAGTGGTTGCGAAGAGCACGGCAAAGGGCGTGAAAGTGAAGATCCGAGTGCTGACGTCAGGGCGAAGTGGGCCGAGGTGGGACGAAGTGACGAACGTCGGCAAGTTGGCGGAGCAGTACCGCAACTGGGTGTTCAATCAGCACAGGCTGCTGGACGATGAGGTGAGCATGGCGTACGATGACGCAATCATGCGTCTGTGAAACCTATTCTTGGTCACGGAGTGATAAGGACGTTGGTCTCTAGTGGACCCCCTTGATTATTGCAGCGTCCTCAAAACCATGCTTCAGTGTCGCAGACATACCCGCGTCAAGGAAAATTGCACTTTTGCTTGTTAACCGCCAGCGCTCACAACCATTCGATCACGCCCTTTGTAGCAAGCTCTGCAGATGACGTTGAAATTCAAATGCTCCAAAATGTTTCACAAGTGGATCAAGTGGATCTTGTGAGATGACGGCTTTCATATGTCGCTGGCAATACTTCTCCGCTTTTCAGTGACAAGGTCCTGCTGGTGCTTTCTCGCCATTGCTTTGTAATCCTCCCGTTTCAGTTATCGGTGAAAATCGGAAAGAAAGCGCGAAGTTGGTTTCGTAGCTCGACACGTTCCGCGAAAGTGTTCCAAGATAGGTCGTGCTTACAAAAGCATGCTTGGACCATCCAAGGGATTCCCCGCAACTTTTCGCTCTTGATGTACAGGTTAAGTGCGACCAGGAGAGCAAGGTGCTCGTGCTCTGCGACGACCAGCTCCGCACTTCTCTTGGGGGCATCGACCTCGAGATGGTGACGTTCCTTAGACGGGCCCAGATTCCCATCGACGGCAAGCCGGGAACCTGGGAGGCGTCAGCATCGGACGGCTCTCAACAGCTCCGAGTGAAGATGGCCAAGGGCCGTTTTGCGACCATCGAGTGGTTCCTGTACCCGGGGATGGATGAATCGCCCGCTGACATCCGGTAAGCTCGAAGCGTCCTTGTTTGGAACTTTGGTGGAACGCTCGCTTATTCGAGGGTTCTTTGACGCACGTCGTCATGATGCTGCGTTGATGCAAACGACTCCTTTTCAGTGTAAGCGTTATCTTGCTTGAATGGATGCTGGGCATACCAACGTGTCAGACGGCACCTTGTCGTAGGTGTCTTTTTCGGAATGAGGTAGATCGTGGCTGTGTCAACGGCTACCCCAAGTAAGGGTGGTCGTTCTTTTGGTAGCGGCAAGCTTGGATGCCAGCAGGCTGTCATCAAACACTCGCTGCGCTCCCGGAGTAGTGCGGACAACTACCAAGTCGGCGGGGCTCTTCGTTCTCAGCATGTGAATATCGGCCGGAAATTGCGAAGCACAACTTCTGTTTCAAGCAAGCTGCCCAAGTCTTAGCATAGCTGCCGCGAGCTTGGACTTCTTTTGAGCTGCTAAATTGAAAACTGGATTTCTGGATTGTGGCAGGTTCGTCTACCGCCCCCACGATCGAAGCCAACCTGACAGATGCCGGTCGAGCGTCCTGACCGAGAGGGGCGAGTTCCCCAGATTCCGCCTGGGAACGGGCTGCGAGATTGCGCACGTGAATCGGATCATCCTTCAAGACGTAAGCAATTATTGCAGACACCAAACTTTTGCCGCAATACTCGTAGGCTTATGCCCTTTCTCAACCTGCCTTCTGCTCGTTCCAAGTGATAATCATCGCTTATGTCGAAGCCCCTTGCGCCCTTGGATTGCAAGATTCCTCTGCGGGTTTCTCGCTCTGCGTGTAAGCACTTCGAGCTGGCGAAAACGGCATGAACGCTCTGGTTGCCGCGCAGATTGTCCGCGTGAACCCGGCAGACTGGGCGAAGATGATTCGCGACGAGGAGGCAAGTCTGCCAGGTTACGTGGACATTCTGAACGAGGAGGAGGCGGCCGGGGCTGGCGAAAAGGTGCGAAGCTTGCTGTTTTATCAAAATGGGCGTTGCAGCATTCTACATACCTTAAATTACCGGCTTGCGATTCTTGAACACCTTCTCTGCTTTTAGGCACGAATCGGATTGGCGAAGACTGTGTAAACCCCGCCAGTCACTTTGAGACGCGGCCGTTGTCTATATCACATGCGTGGACCTGAGACGGTTTTCTGTGAAAATAGCATTTCGCTGTCTCGTCCTCATTCCTTTGTCCTCAGTCCAAAGTCACTTATTTGAAGCAAGAAGCACATAGCTGAATTTTTCCAACTCTGTACAGTCCTACTGGATGCCTATAAACTCCTCGTTCTTTGACCTGTGTCAAGCATCTTTTGGAGAGGTGCCGGGTACTCTGAGTTGCCCCTGTTGCGGAAAATGCTTGTTGCCAGAAAGTTCTCCATCTGGTTGATCAGGAGAACGGCGATTCTAAGTACTTCGCTTCAGGAGTCCCCCTTCAGCTAACACCTACATTGACGTCAGTATTCCTGCTCTAGCAGGCGTTTCCTCACGATGGTGCCGAGCTCCAAGCGGGCGAGAAGCTTCCCAACGCTGGCGTTCTCGTGCGGCCACGAGTAGAGTCGAAGGGCGGACGGCTCGCTAAATGCAACATTGTCCAGAAACGACTTGAGGTAAGAGATCCACAGATCATTCGTACTAGTCAGCTTGGTTTACTAGCGGGGACTTGATAGTTCTTAGGTTGCGCTGATTGTAACAACAAAGTTCACATAATCCAAAATCCAGAATTCTCTTGCTTTACTGCAGGTTTTGACAAGGACAAGTTCGACGAAATCTAATTCTGGGCAATCCCTCAAAAGAGTCGCAATCGGCAATCAGATCCCACAAATGCTGGTCATTTCGTTCAAGGTCTCTTAGTCCTTTGCTCAACGGCGAAGAGTAGGAGTGTCAGGAACCCGAGACTGGTCGGACAATTCACATCTGCGGTCTTTCACTCTGCCTATGCCAAACACGCACGCGCACGATACTGACCTTTCACATCGTTCATTTGTAGGTCCGACTCGATGTGCAATTCACGAGCACGGCCGGAGAGGTGGGCGAGTACAGTCACAAAGAGGCTGCGGTGTGGTTGGAAAGCCAAACCAAGATCAAAGGCCCCACGTACTTCTTCACATTCCCCACGGTCAAGGGCAAGCCCTACTTGTGGGAAGCCGGAACCTACAGGTTCACTTTCGTGGTGGTAAGCTGTCATGTAGCCTTTCGTTCGGGTGTCAGAGTGCACCCCTTCCTTGTATTTATAGCCGTTGTAATTGCGCCCCATCTTTGCCCGGTCCTCGATCTCTTCCAAGTTCGAGTCTGTTCCGCTCCCTTTTGTCAGTATTCCTTACATGTTTTGTCGCACTGCCTTCTACTTCTGGTCCAAAGCTGCTCTTCCCTTCTTGTCGGCCATTCCCTCCTTTTCGTTCTCCGTCCTCAGACCCTCTTTGTTTTTGCATCCAATTGTGCGGCCTGATGACATCCTTTTAGTTCCATCTTCGTTTCAGTCGTCCAAAGTCCGCCTAAGTCGTTTTGCACCTTCGTCTATCTTTCGCCCCCCTTTGTTGGCTCCCTTCTGCGAAGACGTCGGCTTTCACCCTGGCTCATCGTTTTTTAGTGTCCGTGCCGTGCTTCAAGGAGTTTCTAGTCTTGCCTCATTGGCTTGGTCGTTTATCTCTCCAGAGCGGCCAACACGACCCTCCTGTAAAACCGCTCGTCCGGACCATCACGGTTCGACCGCGCGACACGGTGGCCAAGTGGTGGCTTGCCGAAGCAACCAGTTCTGACGATGCTCTGCCAGTCCGGCTTGGGATACCGTTCAATCTGCGGGTGCGACAAGAAGACAAACTGGGGTGAGTGTTGATCCTCCTCGGAAAAATCTGATGCTGGCTTAGTAAATCAGCGGGACAATTCAGATACGTCGGCTGGTGTCAATCTAGGCTAGCAGACTGCTGACCTTGATGGCACGTCTGAGTTTGACCATTTGTTGCGAGCATCCTTTTCCCTTGGTTTCTCTGCAGAGTTTGGCATCTGCTCGGCACCAAATTTAGTCGAGGTCCCTAAATCTGAACGGGATTCACGGGTTTGCACTCCCCTCAGGGGTCTAATCGAAACCTGCTTCGACTTCGATTTCGTTTGGTGGTCGGGCCCTCCTCTAACCAGCTTTTGCTTCTTGCCAGGAATCGGAAAGCGTTTGATGCTCCTCTTCCCCTCCGGCACAAGTTCTTCGCAGCATTGCCTCCTTACTCGGCAATCGAAGCCGACAGGATCAATCTCAAACACGGCGAATCAAGCGTGTCGGACGATGGCATGGAGCTGGAAGTGGCTGACATCATCCTAACGTCAGCACTCACACCGGAGCTGCGGGAGGTTTGCCTGCGGCTGATGCCGGCGTCAGACGCGCCGGTGTTCCGGCACGTAGTCAGTGACGTGTCGGAAGAGACGGCGGACCGCAATAAAGCCGAGATCTTCCTAACATGTGAGTAAGAGCTCAAGTGGGCACTCTTAATCTGGCTCGTACATGTGGTCATTATGCTTGCTTTAACCTGAGAACTGTGGTGTTCGCGCAGTGCTCGGTTTCGAGAGCAAAATTCCACAGCACTTCTATTAGCGCGCAACTGTTGACAGTCTTTCGCCTTTGCCCTTGGAAATCTCGTAAGGCTCGTGGTTTGGCACAACTGGAGCCTTTCAGGAAGCTCCACATATTGATAGTGCTTCATAGTCAGGCTGACCCATGTCTTTCTGCCGTCCGCGTATCTTCTTACGTGAAAAAACTATGCTAAAGTCAGCCATCCTTGAATACCATCCTCAAGGCGCCGAAAGGCGCCACGAAGCACTCTCTCCTTGGATCGCCTTGCAGGCGCATAATCGTTCTCTTACCCACTCCTTCTCACTCGCAGTGCATTCTGGTCCTGGTTACGCGGAGAGGTGTTCGTTGCAGAGCAACCCGCCCTTGGACGGCACCACTGTTCTGCGACCGGACCAAGTCTTCGACTCGTTTGTGATGACCTTCCGAGACCAGGTAATCTATTCTGTAACGTTCACTCATTATAGAGACTGCGCGCTCTTCCGTAAATGCACATATTTCCGTGATCTGCCGAGCAGAGCTTATTCTGCGTGCTATACATCTCATTCAAACAGCTTCTTCAGGTGGTTGGCTTTTGCGTCGATTGTATACCCAGCATCGGTATTAGATAGGCCGACCTCACAAGCTGACGACGTGCCGTTTAGAGACTCAACCTATGTAGACTCTTCAGCAAAGCTTCAAGTCATTCATGAAAAGCTCGACAGGACAATTGAAGATCTTTGCCGCTTTTGAAACCGGAGCGATGTACCTTGTGCCTACCGCTTGCTATTTTAGCATCAATTCGTACATATCTAACTTAAGCTACGAGATCTTTTCTGCAGTTCGGCAACCCCCTGGAAAAGGGGACGGAGCTCACGATCGACTTGGACGGGTTTGAGATGGGAGGCAACAAGCACCTCGTCAACGAAACAGACGAGAACGGCCAGATTAGCCTGGGTGGAGAGCTGACGGTATGTCGCTACGCATCGCTCTTTCAATCTCTTATGAGGATTTGATTCTTGCATCAGCTTTACACAAGCTTCAAGCGGTACCCTTCAGACTCCACGAATGGCAACTCGGCCACTGCAGACACTCTACAACTAGATTCTCGCAAAGGCAAGCCTCGGGAAAGCGATCTGGCTGCCAGATCTGGAATCACGTGATTCCGGGCTCCGTAGGCCGACTTTGTAGGGAAGCCAGGGATTGCGCGTTTGTAGCCAGGCTTCTTTCCACCAAAGAGTGGAAGTGACAAACTAGCGCGAGACAAGATGGGCCAGCAGTCCTTTGGCACGGGCTGTTTCAGAGCATTCCCACGAAGATAGAACAGACTTCATGGCCCGCAAAAACCCGGAACATCTGAGCGCACCCTTTCTGGCTAAAGGTCGCACTTTGACGAACTGCTTCAGCGCATGAGCAAAAGCCGCTGGACATCTTTTGAATCCATCTAAAGTGTAACGGCAGGGTCTGAGTAGATTTTTGTGCATTCCCAGGTGAGCGGGACATACGGCTCCACCTGCAAGATCGTTGTCAGCCAAGGCGACACCGAGCTCCTGAGCAAAGCGGCCGAAGTCGTGGGCTTGCACATACACCTCGAAGACGGCGAAGAACTGTCGGGTATCGCCGGGGGGGCCTTGGATGAGGTTACGATAACCCTGGTAGACCCGGACGGTAACTTTGACAGCGACGCGGAAGGGTCCTGGGCTCTCTGGCTGGATCCCAAGGCGAAGAAGGCCCCCCCCGGAAGGACTTTCGAGAACGGCCGGGCGGTTCTGGAAGGGGTGGTTCTGCCAAGGCGTCTGGGCGTCGTCGACGGACTGCTGAAGGTGACCGTTCAGAGAGGGGGCCTTCGGACCGACCTCGAGAAGGCTGTCAAGGTAAGCAAGAAATAAACGGGCGACCAGCCTGACGACTTCTGATATGATGTTTCTCTGGCGTTGAATTCCAACACGTGATCTGGGGTCGCAACTGACTAAGAGGGCAATCAGTATGTAATCGGAGAGTCTGACTCCGATCTTGATTGACGATGCCTGGCTAGGTCTGCCTCGGGCTTCATCGTATCGCTCAAATCTGACAACCAGTGACTTATGTACGAGAAAGGAGTCAAACAGCCGCAAGCACGCCAATGAATGCGGTTTGTCATGACCAACAAAGTGGTTAATATTGGCAGCATTCCCAAGCTTTGTCCGGAGGATGACTCTTCTTTCCAATGTATAATCTGCATCGAGCTGTTGTTTGAGTTGCTGCAAAGCATCTACCTGTCATAAACCGCTAAACAATACTTCTCGGCTTTGCTTAATGACGTCGCCTGGCCAAGTCGGTCGCAAAAACGCTCAGCGAATTGAAATAAGAGAGGAAGTAATCGACTTAAATCCTCCTCAATCGCAGATCCAAGTCAACGCCGGGCCCGTCCGAATGCTGGACCCCGTGTCTATCTCCGGGTCGGTGCCCTGTGGGGCCACTTCCAAGCTCTCTTTCCGGTCGTTCGATGCGAACAAGCTGGCTGCACCTCTCCCTAATGACGTCCTCCAACAGGTGGGTCGGGTTAGCATGGAGGCTTATGGGCACTCGTGTTTTGAAACTCAAGGTTGTCGACGAAAGTACCCGTAATAACGCAAGCGCAATGCAGGCTGCTTCTGTATGTCCTGGTTTGCGGACGTCTGTCTTGGCTAAGTGTACTGCCTGCGGGACCAGCAAAAAGTTCACTACCCTAGGCTCTTCTGACGTAAGCAAAGCAGATGATGTCAACACCGGTCTCAACAATTTTTCATTCAAGCTGCGAGCTCACCCAGCCGAAAAGAACGATCTCGATTCAATTGCCAAGCCGCTTTGTTTTGCCGAACACGCAACTGTTGCTGACAAGCTGGAGTTCTCGCTATGGAGCCTGTACCCCTTTCGGTGCGCAGAGAGACAAGAGGGGTTCGTATTCCGCAGCTTCACAAAGAGGAAGTTTCAACAGCATCTAGAAGGTCATTCCGCTCACTTGCATCCCTCGCTTCTTGCAGTTGCGGCTCTCCCTCGACGGCCAGGCACAAGACGCCGCCACCCTCGGACACGTGTCTCAAGCGGAGCTCGTAGACGGGACCGAGAACGAGTACGCAATCGACGCGCGCTTGGAAGGCGTGGCCGGAAGTTACCACCTGAAGCTCTCCCTCCCAGAAGTGGAAACGAGCAGGGATTCAATGGAAGAGCCGAGAGCGGAGGCACGGTTAGCCGCGAAGTGGAAGATTCGGCTGTGCGCGGGGGAGTTCGATAAGCTGGAGGCGGTCATGGAGGAGTCGCCGGTGACCACAACGATGAGAATGGTCCGGGGGGAGTGGCTGGACGGGCTGACAGCGCGCGCGTTTGACTCGCAAGAGAATGTCTGCACGCAGCGTGACAGGGAGTCCTGCATCGTGGTGAGCTCTTATCTACCCCTCCTGTGCACACAAAGCCTATGCGTGCAACTGCTCCTCCTTTTGAGCTTTGCCTGCTATCTGGTTCCGGTCAGTTCAGTGCTTACATGTAGTGGACTTTTCTAGGTCCCTCGCGCTATAACTGCGTGCAAGATCTTTTCAAGGCTGAGGTTATGCAAAGCGCACAGCCGTTTTCATTCTGCGCACACTATTGTACCGCGGAGGGCTTTGGACAACACATGAGGTGATTAAGGTGCTGTGTGCAGCAGTTTTTTAGTTGCGGGCTCTTCACTGAGTGGTTTTGACGAGGCAGTCAACTCTTTTGAAATTGCATGCAGCAACTTTATTTGGAGAACTTGGTTTGCTAGGATTTGCAGGATATGGCTCACCAAGCTGGTTTACAGTTTTGGCTTGAGCAACCCAGCCTCGTCCCTGAATACCAAGAAGGGTCTAAAACGGTCGGCTGAAGTTTCTGAAAGACCAAAGTCTGCTTCGGCTGAGTCGTTGATCATCATTTCAGTTGTGAACGTTTGGCAGTCTTCGTGCTCTTCTGGCACTGTTGTTCATAACTGGCAGGAAGATTCTTGGCTGTTCGGTTGCTCTAGCCCGCCTTTTATACCCGCTAACAAGTTGCGCCACTCATTGATGGCCCGCGTGCTCAGATCGGAGGAAATTGCTCAGGTCGGAGTTCAGTAGGCTGCGATCGCAGATGACATCGACTGTATATATCCAGCCCGCGCTCTTAGTTAGGACTTCCAACAACAAGCGCCACACGTTGAGACTCTTTCGGTCCTTTTTTTCACAGGAGATTGCTCCGGTCGGAGCGCAGTACGATGCGGCGGCAGCAAGCCAGCGCGCGCGGTGGGTGGACGCTATGCGCAAGGGCAAAGTCACGTTCAGCAGAACGCAAATATTACTTGAAGCCGGGAAATACCGCGTCCACTGCTGGCTGGAGAACAGTCTCGAGAAGCCCACGACATTCGATTTGAGAGTCGAAGAGGGAAACTACCCGCGGGATATCAGGCTTCCGGATCCTAGCCCAATGGCGGTGGACCTGGGGTCGGAGTCGGGGACTGTGCTGGAAACGCTGTACGTGGACCTCCTCTCCGCGGATCGCTGCAGATTGCGGAGCTTGGAAGAGGTGAATACACTTGACAAAAGTTTGCAACTGTCAATCTCTTTGGTCCTTCCGGAGGCAGCTTGTTGCCATTGAAGCCCATCGCCGATCGGGAGAGGAATACCGGGCTTGCATGCCTGGCCGGATACTCCACTGACGTCACTGTTGCTGGCGACCGGACAGAGTGTCGTGCCGCAGGGTCGAGGGCATGCTGACGTCACCGCAAGTGCGTCCTTGCACGTCCGTTCACACGAGTCGGACTTGAGTAGGTCATGTGCTTGTCTTGTTTCGGCTCTGAAAACCTCCCCGTCCTTTAAGTCCCAAGAAACTTTCCTGCCAGGCGCCAAATTCATCTGCCAATGCATTCACGGTATTCTTTGATGGACATTCCTCCCATTGCAGCTCTGACCTGAGGCCTTGCAAACACGCCGAGGGAGCAATTCTGATAATACTGAAAGATGAAGTAGTCAAACGTGTGCGAATCGTGGAGCTGGTCGCGTGAGGCCATTGCTTCAGCAGCCCTTTAAAAATTCATGCACAGAGTCCTTTGCTGGTCACTTTTGCGGCCCTTTGGTGGTCAACGCTCGCCACTTCAGCAGGTTCAGCACTTGTCCTTATCCTTCGGAAGCCGACCCGATCTTACATTCAAACGTTCCGCCTTTTTACAACTCGACTTCTTAGAATCTCATGCAAGATTCAACCTTTCAGGTTGACCCTCCGGTCTTGCAAATCAAGCGGCACGACACCGGTGAAATGGTCGGCAAGGAACTCATCGGACGGCTTCAAGCGGAGGACGAATGTGCTGACCGGGAAGGGGGCGCCGGAGAGAACAGCGACGAAGCCGGCCCGTCAGCGCAAGAGCGCCCTGCCAAGCGCGCGCGCACCAAGGACTCCGTCAAGAAAGAGAAGTCCGTCAAAAGCGAAGGTAAGCTGTTTCCTACGATCAGTTGCGGCTGAAAGTAGGGAGTACATAGCTAAGTTTTGAGACACAGACTGGGCCTCGCGTACTCCAATCTCTGAGTCCGCTTGTTTCGACCACCGGATATGGCAGCAAAGGCCCATGTTGACTCCAAAGTCCGCTTTGGTCAGGGTCTAATGGCCGACGGACCGCCTGGTTGGCATCGAATCTGCATCGTGTAACCTGGTTCTGGGTCAGAAAACATAGTTTGACATCAGGAAGACCTCAGAATTGAGGTTATAAGAAGCCGTCTGACAGTGCCTTCCGACAAAGTCTCTCTCACGGTGTCGCAGACACAAGCAGGTTTTATTACAAATCTCGAGCAAGAAAGCGCGGTGTTACGCTTTTGAACACACCCCACAATTTCAAGCAGGTATCAAGATTCACATGCACTGCATTGAGTTGACATTTCTGAGCAGACCTTGAGCGTTCGTTTGATCTGAACCCTGCTTTGTGTCTTATAATGCTCTTGTGCTTTTGCAGGCGCGGCAGAAAACGAGGCCGATGAGAAGGTCACCCGCTTCTCTTTCGTCGACGTCCCGGTGCCTACGAAGGCCGGCGAATACTTCCTTGACTTCTCCCACACGCACGAGTACAAACTGGGCTCTGGCAGAAAGGACACAAGGACACGTGTCAGGTCCGTAGAGGTCCGGCACGGTCTCCCCGCGGAGCTGCACTTCGCAACTAGGATGAGGAAAACGGTCGCGGAAGGAGAAGAGCTAGCGGAGGCCGGACGCCCGGTGGAAGTGACGCTGCGTGACGTGCACAAAAACGTTTGCACGAGAATCAGCGGCTTGGCGGTGGCACTTTTTGTGAGGGGCGACCAAGCGGGAAGCAGCAGTGCGGAGGTTCCGGAGATAGTTTCCGCTGTCGACGGCGGAACGGTCGAGGCGGTTGTGACGGACGGAAAGGCGGTGTTCGAAGCGGTGAAGATGGGTTCCGGCGGAGCGGGCATCTACAGCTTTGCGTGCGGGCTAGCGGAAAGCGAACTGGCACGGGAGGAAATGAAGGAGTGGATGAAGAGCTTGAAGGAGGCGAAGTCGCATTTTGTATACCGCAATCCGGAGGAGGAGGGGCATGTTCTGGGTGATAAAGCTCGGCTCACCGGAGCTCTGAGAGTGAGCTTCCTTTTCTCAGCGAAAATGCTCTTGAAGCGCAGATAAAGCCGTCCAATAGGGTTCTCTAATTTGCGCAAAGGTGTGTCTGACCCTCCCGGTTCAGCTGCGTGGGTAGCTGTAGCTTTAATCAAACAACAGTTTTACAGCCCTGAGGAGGGATTGCTGTTCTGATGCTGCATCTAGCAACATGAGTTTCTCTCGGGCTACGAATGTCCGACCTCAATTGACATACTGGACAAAGTGAGGATTCACTCGTGTTCTAAATAACCCTTTCTGTGTCCAGCAAACATACACCGCAGAAGACGCTTCTCCTCCCAGCTTTTGTGTTCTTTTAAAGGACCGCGAGGCTCTAACACCTTGAGACAGCAAAATTCGATAAGGCTGCAGGTTGCTACCGGCTTTGACAGTGGAATTTATTGGTCTGCTGGATATGTGAGATTGCGACGTGAACACCTAGACTCTCGGCATCTTTGCTGTCCGGGCTATCGGGTTGCCGATCTCTGAGGGCACGGTCGAAGCCACGAAGACCGACGCGGGTACATTTTCAAATAAGGCTTCCTCTTTTCTTTGCAGGACGCCAGGAACAAGGAGGCCAGCTTGCGATCCGCGCTCGAGAGACTCGTCGCCGAGCAACTCTCAATCAGCCAGAAAGCGCAGGCCAGCGCCAGCAAGCGCGCGCACATCCAAACCGCGCGAAAACAGTTGGCGACGGAGCTCGGTGAGCTGGAGATAAGAGCGCGCGCCGCGGCCCGGCGGATCCATGAACTAGAGCGAGCGGAGACGGCGGCGGGGCAGCGGAACTCGCGGGCTGTCTTGCAGGACTTTCGGGGGAGGCGGCCGTGGGCTGCGGTGGCACAACTAGCGGTACAGGTGGGTCGTTCGCGCAATGAACATTGAAATCTGGTTGCAATCTTTGTACTAGAAAGGATCAGGTAGCCACGGAGCTGTAAGGGTCGAAGATGAGATGAGTCGTGTTGCGCACCCTCGCGGGATCGGTGCAGGATAGCGAATTTGCAATCTTCTTACAGTTGGGCTTCGCATTAGATTCTGAGTGGCGAACGAGAAAGTATCCGGTTTGTTTGTGCTTGAAATTGGTCACAATGAAGGTGCCTGGGGCCCATTTCGCTTGGCACGGGTTGAAGGGCTGCGACCCACGACTGGGGCTGCCTGGTAAAGCCAGGGTTGTAGGCAGGCTGTTGCTTAGTTCCGCTCTCTCCTATGAGCTCTTCGGCTCGAAAATGATGATTCATAGACCCTTTTCGAGGGTGGGTTATCGATGAACTCGTCTCAGCCGGTTCAGACGGGGACAGCATGAGCAAACAATGTCTTTGAGATCCATCGAAACGGTATTCGTTGCGACGCTTCCCTGCAGTCCGACTGACCACGAGGCACTGCCTGCTGAGTTCAGTGTGCGACAACACTGGTGAAGTACGTAGTCATCCACGGCGCTCCTTTGGAAACCTCTTCGAGCAATTCTTTTGAATCGTAGGAGGTTGCCCTTCTAAATGGATTGAAAGAACTCTGAGAGTGACAAAAAGCAAGGCGAAACGCACCAATTACTCTTGCGTTCAATGCAGACCCCTGGTAGCGGCCTTCACCCCGACGACTTTCGGCAGGCGGACCTTGAGCCTGAGCTCCTAGGCGTGGTCGCCTTTCTGGGACGGGTGGAGGACGATACGCTCAATACCCGGCTCATGGAATGGATCGGGGGCAAGAAGGACAGCGTCGTCTGCAGGGTGAGCTCGATTGTCTTGCGTCCCTGCCTTTTGTTCTGAGCAAACGGTAAGTGAACTGCCTGCACCGAACCGCGGGCCGGCTTCCGTATGTTGTTTTACTGTGTCTCAGCGCAGACGACGAAGTTTAAAGTCTGTGCCTTGTACTGTGGATGGGTTTCATGAAGCGACGAAGAAGAGTAGGGTTTGGATTGTCCAGTGTCGCTATTCCGAAGGCCTCAATGAAGGCTTTGAATTGATTACGTCGTCTAGATGCTCGGATCGTACGTTGGGTACCTAAATCTGCGATTAAGGGGGGCAGGCATCGACGGGTTCAAAGCACGCTCCGGCAACTCAAAAGGATGTCTTCTGAGGAATTTGTCAAAGGTCTGCTCGCCCTGCGTTTACAAGCAGGTTAGCGCTTGGCAATTCCTCAGTCCAGCTGTTTTGAAGCTGACTTGTTTCCTGACCCTAATATCTCTGAAGAACTACACTCAACGATTTGAAGTGATGCGGGCATGTGCATCGTGTCAATGCCTAGGCCAGGTGTAACCTCCATGCAGGCACTTAACCGTATATCTTCCAATTCGAAAACCTAAGGCTAAACGCTCTACGCTCTTCCTCCCACAGACCGAGGAAGGAAGAGCCGCTTGTATCGACGTTCGCTCGCCCAACGGCTCGATCGACCGTACCCGTGGACTGGCAGGACTAGCGGGACGACTCAACGTGGAGCTGCGTGGCCGCTATGACGTCATCCCGCTGGACAAGCCGGGAGTCGCCCGCAACTTCTTCTCTGGGCCGGTGAGTTGAATAAGCACAATCAACTTTCAACTAAATCAGGCTCCCAGCACAGCTGAAGCTTGGCACAAGCATCACCATCTGTGAGGAAGATGTGGAGATATTATCTAGGCAGGCTTTTGACAAGTTTAGGTCTGTCGAGAGAGGCGCCTAACCCCCGTGTTTTCGGTTAGCATGGTGTCACTAGCTGAACGGGAAGCTTGCCCCGACATGGATTGGAGCTCGTCGCCTTTTTTTACGCACAACTTTGATCTCACTGCTTTGAGCAGCGATTGTGGATATTGGCGATCCAGAAAAGCTTTACTTAACTAAGAATGTTTGGTTGAAAGGAAACTGCACTAGCTTGCAGATTTCGTTTAGGGCCGCGAGTTGCTCAACTCCCGGTAAGAAAGAGACGAGAAAACTAAAACCCAAATATAGGCCCTGTTCCAGCCGCGATAGCTGCCCTGGAGCAATCCTGCGAAGTACGATCCTTAAACCTCCCTAAATAGCACCGAGGGGGCTGAAAGCCGAATCGTCATCCCTTTGACACCGCCGTTTTCCCCTGCTACAGATCTTGGAGAATCACCAGCAAAAGCTGCTGAGCATCGCTTCCCCCATGATCCGCGGCCAGCCGCCTGAAGGGTTCCTCGGATACGCGGTCAACTTGATTCATCTGTCGCCGGAACAGCTGGACGTCGACATCCGGGTACCTTCTGAGTAAGCTCTGTGCGAGTCTGCTCCTTTCCCCTGTAGTGATTGAGGGTTGATTTTCCTTTCGACTGGGAAATGTTTTGGAGGATGATTCTCTGGAGCGGGCGTCAACCAATTCCAACATCCCTGCTTTTGTTGTATCAATGATGCAGACAAATTACTTGACTGATTCTGTCGTTTTGAAGAATCTTTGCCGCCCAGATGTCCTCACCCCTGAGCAGTCCGCCATACAGTATGTTTGCTTGTGCTCTTGAAGGCGCTGCTCGATCCCATTCTCTGTGGCGCTATCGTGAATCTTGCTTGGATTGCCTAGTTCCAACGGTTGAGCTTGAGCGGCAAGCTAAGAGCTCTCTCGCCAAGAAACGAACTTGAAGACCTGCTTCTACATTCGCGCTGCCGCTCAGTGCCTCCGATCGTTTGCATGGCCACTTTGAAATATGAGAACGAAAGGCTAATGAATGCGTGCCGTTTGCTTACATTTTGATTTGTGGCGGCGGGCTCATGGTCAAGTGGACGCGCTTTTCCTGCTTTCTCTTACAAAAGAATTCCGGTCTCACGGAATTCCGCCCGTCTCCGCAGGAGCGGAACGCGCACGTACGGGCTGCGGGCGTCGCTCTTCTTTTTCCTTTTCGGACGGCTGCAAGTGTACGATACGGACGCCCACAAGCGCGCGGCCGCGCGCGAGCTTGGAGGGAACTTCAATGCAGTGGTGAGTTGCTGAAACACCGTTTGCTCGATGCAAGTTTTGTGATTTCAATTGAACAACGAAATGCAGGGACAAGTTGAGCTGGTCCAAAAGAGAGCTTACAGAATTTGAAACTACCTTGTTTATTTGTGAAGAATTATTCAACTTAGACAATGGGGAGCAGAAGGCGGACACGAGCTCTGGGGCAACTTCATGGCACTGATCATCTCATAAGCATAATTGGCTCAAAAGCTGTAGTTTTGATCCTGTTTGCAAAGAGGTCTGTATACGGTCAGGTTGAGGGGGGCCAGAGAAACGGTTGTTCGACAGTTTCAAACCACCTTGGTACCTTACGGTGTCACCATTATACATAGATTCAGATGGTTGCGTCCATTGGTCGGAAAGTAGACTTCTGATCAGAGGACTGTAGAAGAGGCAGTCGAGCAAGGGGTCTGTGGTACGCAGTGGCTGGAACACAATGGGGGCACTATCTGCAGAACTCATGCATTAAGTGCCCGCTTTCGCCCATCGTAGATCTCACGTCTCCTCGCTCGAAAAGCATCCTCAAAGGAAAATCCGACAAGATATCCAACTGTCGTAGTATTTGACTTTCACTCCATCCTTACTTATCTCCCTACACCGGTAGTAACGAGAGCGGTACGTATCGGATTCTGCTTTTTACACTGTCACTGCTCAAAGTCGTAGACGTGTACTCATGGACGCTCCAAGTAGACAGCCCCTAGCTCAGACGGCGGTGCCTCGTGTTTCGGGACTCTAAGCTGACGGCCCAACTCAAAAGGTTTGTCTCTTTCTGCATGACGTCAGACAATCGGCCCGGGGTCTATCACGCGACCTGACCGTGAGGTCAGCGGCTTCGCCCCTGAGGACATCCCCGGGGTCAACTTCGAGCGCGTCCCCTGGAGCGAGCGCAAGCAGTGCAGGTAAGGGGAACGAAAAGTAGAGTCAGTTGCTGGGCTTAGGGTGACAGTGCGAATGTTCTGTGGAGTCGGCAGCAATTGTTTTCAAAGGAACTTCAAGTTTCACAACGGCCCTTCTGGAACTTGTCGGGAGAGGGCCGTGGTTTGCATGCCGCGAGAGGGTGCGACTCGCGATGCTCGACGAAAGAGCGAGATTGATACACAAGGCCCTGCTTGCGCTGTGAAGTTTCCTTCTGGGATGAACATCGGCGCCCAGGATATCAAAATGTACCGCCTTTTCTTCCTCATGGCGCATTTTACCCTCTTGGTGTCACGTGCTTCGTGGATTCGAACCTTCATCACCTTCCAAAAATATCAAAAATATGCGCGAGTTTCCACGCGCGCTGATTCTGCTTGTCACAGCGTTGGATACGGAGCTTTGAAATGTATTTGATTTGGCGATATTGGCCGGGCAACGAACTTCAGGGGTCGGGTAGGCTGCATTTTTCTGGTACATTAAGTGCCTTCCAACCGAACAAGCGGAAAGTTATTTTATCTTGTCAAAGTCAAGATACATTAGTGCTGAGATTTGTACTTCGGTTCGTGCAGTCTCTACCCGCCGGAGCTTTCTCGGTGTCTGGACATCACGGAGGAGTACACGCGGCTCGAAGCAACGCTTTCACAGCAAACCGACAGACTGCGAGAGCAGGTTCGTCCTCCTTCAGTTCTATTTGGGTCTTGAATATTTAATGTTTCCGACGTGTTTCTTCCGCCAGATGTTTACCAGAATGCTCGCGCGAAACTTGCGGAGTGATTTATGCCATGTTACAGGTCTTCCTTTTCTGACCGGGACCTTTCCTCCCATTGGTATCGCTAGTCCTTCTGTCGGGATGATGGTCTGTTTGCCCGAATGACCTTATCCGTCCTCCAATACAAGAACGTGCACCTGACAAAGCCATTGAACTCGTCGTCAGCAGCTCGTCGAACACGTGGACATCGGGTCTCGTTTAGCTCCCGTCTGCGAAGTACTGCTGAGGGGTTAGCGACCTTGAAGGCAGTTTCGTAGAACGTTTTTCTACTTCAGCATCTGTCGTCAGCCTTACGTCACCAGGCTTCTTCGTAGACACGTCGAATATATTGCTCTTTCGAGGCCGACAGCGTTTCCTGAGACAGAGTCATACCCATTCGGATCTTGGAAAATGTTGATTATGGTGGGCAAGCATGGCAGCCGGTGCACTTTGTAACCAAGTGTCATCGCGGGTTTGCTCGCACGGCAAAGGAATAGGAAGTGACCTGTCCGTGGGGATACGTGCAGGATGTGGAGTGCCAGGCTTACGAGCAGATGCGCGCGACACTGCAAGAAGAGACGTCGGCGGTCAAGCGTCAGCTGCAGGAGACTGCTCGTGAGATTGCCAGCGTGCAAGGAGACCTTCAAAAGCTGATGGATCACGCCAAAGAGTGCGGAATGGGGAGGAACGCACCGGATGGCAGGGCACGAGAAGAAGAGGGAGGGCAAGGCGCTACGTGGAGCAACAAGAAGCCAAGACGAGCTTGATAGGGCTGACATAGACTGGAAGCTGTGAGATGCGAACACTTACATGTAAAAGAAACACGAGTCTTGGATTTTCGGAGTTCGAGTGTAGATATAATCGGTTGGTCAGCGCGCTCATTGTACAAGTTTTTGGCTCAGACGTTACTTCATTGTCAGTAGACCCAGCAGTATAGGGCGTGACGACGGTAGTACTGTAAAGTTTTTAAATGGACGACGGTTCGAATAGCAACTTAGCTTCAAAACGTCTTTGGTGGTTTTCTTTGACAAGCAATTTTTGAGTCTTCTTTATACAAGCTGATGATAGTCCGATTGATCAACGGCAAGACCTTTCAAGTGGCCCAAGTCCGTAGGTACGTTGAGTCATTGAATCGATTAGAGGAGTAGACTCTGGGGATGAGACCGCCAGGCCCGTTCCGACTGACCAGGCGAATCGCCCACCTCAGACACTGTTCGGGCCTGCCCGCCGCCTTGCAGGCAGGTATGTAGATAACTTCGAAGTCTACCAACTCAATAGTCGCTATTGCAAATGGAGTGCTTCAGGTCTCACAATGAACTCTCTCAATGAGCCTTCTAGCTTGTCAATGTATGTGTGTGTCCGATCGTTTTACTACAGTGATTCTAAGATACGGACGGTGTGCTTGGATAGTCACCAACATGATCGACGATACACGTCACATACGGCATGGATGATTTGCGGCACTGCTATTGAACTGCAGTGCAAAACTTAGAGACCGTCGATTGTTACACACTGAGCTAGAGGCGGACTGATCATGCACGGTCTTTTAATTTCCTATACTTTCAATCTCCATGTAAATTCATTGATTACACTGCAACATGACTGATCATCATGCAAACGGCCCAGACCTGATTGAGACATTCACAATAGTAGTGATCGCTCAATTTGTTAGCGCATGGGCGTTGCCAGCATCATTCAGTTCTGGTCCGCGCAATTGCTTGCCAAGCTTTCAAAGAGTTGTTTGTGCTCTTAATCTCTGGCTGACTTGTGGCCATGAGCAGTCTAGACAGCTAGCTAGCTAGCAAGAATCTGATGTAGACAACCTTATATAACTTAAGATCGAGCGGAAAATACCAATTTAGGTACTGCTATACCTACTTTGTGTATTAGTCCTACCCCCTTCTTAGCAGAGCCAATTTACCCTGCACGGATGTGGGCTTGCACCCATGCAGGCCACCTATTTAAGTAGCTGTAACCTCAGTAGCCTGAGTAGGCAGGCTGGCACTCCCTGACCCTCCCGGCCTCCGTATTTGATCGAGCTAAGTTCATATTCGGACAATTTATCGCCTGAGTTTATCCGTTTATATGAATCTAATAGTGTGCGTTACGGAGCAAGGTCGGTCAGCGCCCTGATTGAGGAACAGGGGGTCGGAGCAAACGCTTCGAAACGCAAGCCCCTTGCGAAATTTTAGAATATGGCACAGAGATTACATATTTGCCCAATATTAGGGTTTGATGACTCCACGTTTTTAGACACGGTACTACGGTTTTTTAGCTCGGTTTTTGGGGTTTACAAAAAACCAGCTATCGTTTTCCCCCCCAGCGTTTGAAAACCCCGAACGTGAGCACCTTAGACTGGATCACTCAGTTAAGCCAAATTTATGCGTCGAAGGACACTTTCGCCCCATACTATCCCTTTGAATGATCGACCCGAACTTTCGATGGTTCGATGCAAACTGCTGTTCAAATTTCTTTTTTTCGCACGTGTAAGGCTCTTTTCGAGCGCGTTCATTTGTTCATTCTGCGGACATGCCAGGCTGAGGCTCGTCTTAGTGCGGACTCGAACCTTGAGACACGGTGAGGCCGTGGCTTGTCCAACGGTCCAAATGAGGGGTCCCGGATTGCTCTTCTCTTATATCGAGCTTTCTAGATCCGAATTTGCATTTTGACTAACATCAGGTTTTTCAGCTGGCGGTTCACAATCACCGATCACTTTTTCATGCACCGAGAGTCTCCGTGACCCTACCGTCAAATTCGCAACGCCTACTTTTCATTCGATACCTTGGACCCCCTTGAAAACCGAGCATACGTGGCGTTCCGCCACCGGTCACATTTTTTTTTTCAAATAATAACGTCTAAGGGATAGTGAGTAAAGATCAAATGTGAAACAAATGCTGAGGGTGCATTTTTGGAATTTTGGTCTTGAAATTCGAGGTTTTTTGTTTTTTTTCTGGGGTGCAAGGTTCAGATTCTCTGCGGTGCAGCTCATTAGGTGGAGCCCGCAGTCTAGCATACGCCTCTTGGGTTTTTAACGACTGTAATTTTATACAATGTGCGGCGTTCGATTGGTACGTTCACGGGAGTTTCGCGGAAGCCACTCTGGGCGCTCGATCATGCTTTCGCCGGGTTGGTGGTGGCGGCGGCAGTTTTTGCGATGGCCCGTGATGCCCAAGCATAGCTCAGTGCGAGAGCGGATGCGACAGGATGCGAAGCGCTGTGCGTCTAGGGTCGGGGGAAGGTGTCGTCCGCGGAAAGAATGGAGGGTGTGAACCTTCTGCAGGCAGCGGTCGGGACGATGAGAAAGTAAGTGGAGAGCCGTTTAAATTTGGCTGGCGGCGCGGCAGTTTCGGTCGGCGAGGAAACATC